AATATTTTGTTTTGTTTTTAGTGCATTTTGTTTTGTTTTTAGTGTATTTTGTTTGGAAGTCGGTTTTGTTTTTTTATTAAAAAGTTTTTTAATTCCGCTCTATCAAAATGGCGTAACGGGTGGTCCTAATTTGCGCCAACGAAGTTTGCGCCGGCAGCTCGTTAATATCTATAACTTTAGACAACATTGTAGACTATATTAGTATGTAAAAAATATTCCTCAAACACTAAATTACCTTTAAAACCACATTATCAACAGTATTTATTCGGCATAACAACGTGATACCAAAACATATTCTCGGAACATAAAGAAAGTAAACTCCTTTATCTGAGGACTGCTATCTAACACGTCGGAAGTCACACAGTAATCTTTACGTAACAGATAGCACATTGACATTGAATCCATTTATAAACGAAGCCGGAAAATTTTGAAGTAACAATACACGAACACTGCCCTAGGTAAAGTTTGCGTGCATTACGTACCTCGCCTTTTCCCTAACAAAAAGTGTAAAATGGATAAATGTAAATATTTCCATAGCAAAAAAACTATAATTTGTTTGTATTAGAATCTGTACTTAAACGTGAAAATTTTCATTTAGAGCAACATATACTAATGTACATTGGTAGGTTGATTTTTTTATTTCCTAAACAAAATTATGTTAATGTGGCACGTTGTATTATTTTAAAATATTTATTGTGCCGTTGATTCAATAACTTTAAAGGCAATGTAAATTACATGCCAGCAATACATGAGCACGTCAGTATTTATTATGGATCAATAAATAAATCTGTAGCGTTCATACGAATAACGTATGTTCCTAACTCACCGCGCAATGTACTACGAGCTATCATAAATCGCCGTTAAGCACTAGGGCTGTCAACAGCATTAAAATTACTGCAGAAAACTGAATTTTAGTTGTTTCAATTACATTTATAGTTGTGACAACCTTTGTTATTGCATTACGAATTCTGCTAACCCCAAGATCAATTTCACGTCATAGCCAAAAGGCCGACATGGTTCATTTCTCTACTAAGATTGTTGACGCTGGCAACTTCTCTCTAGCTCGGTTTTTTATAAGAAAGGGGCAAACAACCGAAGGGAACACAGAGGTAGTCAACGACGCCAATAGACATCAGCAATATCAGAGGTACTACAGATGCGTTAATGTTAACTTTAGTGTTATAGCACTTTGAGAACTTCTAATGGCAACCCTGGACAGGTAAGTTAAACCGTCTCGCTGACGGAAACAGGTCGAAACGTATCATGTTGCACCGCCCGCTGCCCCCGGCTGCCGCTGCAGCCACCGAAAACAACAAACCGTGAACGAGTTACTGTTAGTTTTACAGCACCCACATCCGACCAGCGTTACGTATATAACGAGCTATTATTAGACATGCATTTTTATTTCATTTTATAATTATAACGTAAAGGTCAAGAACAGAAGAAATGGAAGGTTCAGTAATTCTTAAAAAAATATAAGTTAGTACCACATGAGTACATCACTAGTTTAACAATAGATCCCTATTAAAGGGCTTGGAGCCTTCCCTAAAGTTAGGAGTGTGCTAATGAATGCCCTTCAAATTTAGAGTAAATGCAGTAATATGTGCTAAAATTACGCTTCTAAATTTTTTAAAACTCCACACGAAGATTTTAACAACCCATAGCAACCAGTAAGGTTAAAACAGAAAATAAAAACGATATAAATCCTGTTACAAGAAATGTTTTCATAATTACAAACCTCCCTTGAATGCACATATAGGTCAGTGGGCAACAGCTGAATAAAATTGGACACTAACAAACATGGACGTGGCTACCGGCATTATGATATCATATTCCTTCCTGCGTCTCTATTAACGTGCGCGTTCAATTGGAAACATACTACGATGTATTACAAAGGTCAACTGAAATAGCTGTTTTCAAGTGTACTTACTAGCCTAAAAGTAAGGATATTTTTTTGAAATAGGACATGCGTAAGGGAGTGAACATAATAATATAAAAATACTTACAAAACTATTCCAATGTTCTCAAGTGAGTACACTTTAGTACAGAATATCTTACGTAGATAATGAACGAAGGTACATCACTACGTGTGACGAATATTAAGATTAATCTTAATGAAATAATATGATGGACCTACCTTTTATGAATTTAAGGACACCCTTCAGTGTATTTTAATGATGCCTATAAAAGATAAACTGTTTATATTTGATCGTGACTATAATTAATACGAGTAGGTGTTTCTTATACACAAGCTATTAATTCTACACCTTGTGTTGGTCTTTTAGTTATTAAATAAATAAATAGGACTTTTATTGCCACAAAAACAACCTACAAATGAAATCTTACATACATCAACCTTAAAACTAGTAAAAAAAAAGTGGCAAAAGGCGGCAAGCTCAGCTAATGCAGAGACGGCGCAGGCCGTTTCTGCGCTGGTTTTTTAGCTGGCCCTTTTACACACCGATATTTACACACAAGGTAGGTGACTTAACCTTGTTAGATATTTAAAAAAGTGAATAAACAATAAAAAAAAATATACATATAGTGATTATATATTAAGGTTACAATTTTAAGCTTTAAAAAAAAAACAAGGTTATTTGTAACATATTAATAGATATTTTTCAAAAAGAAAAAAATCCAATATCATATCGGTTTAAACTTAAAACATAATTTAGTATGCATACCAAACTGCTTTATAGTAGTAAATGAGTGAGGTAGTGATAGAATTAATAAGATTGTGACTTTTGTTTTTTTTAAGTATTAATTTGTGACTCTAAAAAAAATCTTTTTATTAATGGGAAAAATTAGTACACTTCATATTGCGAGTCTTAGATATTTTATAATCAATCCTCTTTTTAACGTGCATAACTTCTGCTTTAGGAATGATGTAGAAAATTAAATAGGTAAGCAGTTATTAAGAAGATAGTTTTTTTTTAATCTTAAACTAATATCATCACGCGTAATGATTTTTATCTAACGGTCTATCAGCAACTTTTGTCCAGTCTAGTTTAAAGTTATAAACAATGTCATGTCCATGCTATTATAACGTTCGATTTATTTATGTAATTTTTGCCGATTTCCAAAAATTTTGATTCTTGAATTTGAAACGGTATTAATTGTAGAGAAAAAAACTTAACCATCGTTTACTTAATTTATGGTTGAAAGGTTTTGCGTACTGTGGATAATCCACAAGGTCTGATCAGTCACGCAATTGTTGTAACATTCTTAAAACAAAATCAAGTAACTCTTCATGCTTTAAAAACTAACTTTGCATTATATTGAATTTGTACACCTTTGAACTTCCCAACATCCGTGTACTAATAGTAGTAGTAGGTGTGCGTACGCTCTTAATATAGATAAAACTAAACTATCGCACAACTGTTTAGTCGCGCTTCGATTCCTATGAACTTATAAACGTGCGCACATTACTCGATTTTTCATCTTAAACTTTTTACACTCACTATCTTAAACTCGCTCTTACACTTGCATCATTAAACACAATTTAAATTTGAAATTGCGTTTTCAAATCTATCCTCAAAATAAATAAAAAAAAACACAATTTGTCATACCAATAAAAGTATTGTTTACTCCCAGGGTTGTTGGGATTAAATGAATACAGTTAAAGTTATATTAGCTTGTTTAATTAAATTGTTGACTCTGAGATTAAATTCCTCAGCGTCAGCGGGGATAGAGCTAAGCTATCGTATCGGAACTTGTCCCAAACTCGTTTCTGTCGACGACATTCCTACAGATTTGTTATAACTGCCCGTAAATGGTTACAATTTAAACTAATATTAATTATTACTATACAAATTTCGCCCGGGATTCCGTCCGCTCGTTAATAAAAAATAGTGGCCTATGTTCTATATCTGTGACAATTTTGACAATATCCTTTAAGCCAAATTGAAGATACATCTAAACAAGTATCCATCAATCCATCTATCAAACCATCCATCCACCTATCCATCCATCGATCTATCAATCCTTCTCAACTTTCGCATTTATAATATTACTAGCTTTCGCGCATCACTCCGTTCGCGCGAGATAAAAAAAAACTGTGTAGCCTATGTGTTCTTCTAGATTATCCTCTGCATCTATGCCAAATATTATCGAAATCCGTTCAGTCGTTTAGGATACCAACTCTAACAAACATCCATCCATCCATCTATCTAAACTTTCACATTTATAATATAAGTAAGAAATAAGATTGTAAAACATTAGCAACATTACATTCAGTTCATTTTGATAATAATTATAATGGTAAAAATATATAAAACAGTACTTGAATCATAAAACTTGAACGCTATTCCTCAACTAATATACTTACTAATTTTATAAAAATAAGCGGAGATGGATATTTGTTAGAATTTGTAGTCTAAACTGCTAAACGGTTCTCGATAAAAGGTGTAGAGTCTCGAAAAACACACAGATTACTTTTTTTTAATTCCACGCGAACGTCGAAATTTATTTACATATAAAGATGTGTATAACTCAATATATTTCAGTGTATTAAAATAGTATAGATTGTCTATTGATCCTTAATTGCTTTAAACCGACATGACTGATTTGTGACAGGATGTGACAAAGCCCACTGTTAGTCTAATGACTAATCTGTACTTTTTTGTCTATCTAATCGAGATTGTAAAGATGTTGAGTCAGTCGATAAAAACCTACGTAAACTTGCCGAACATGGAATTCATATTATTTACGAACAAGAACAATTTTCTATGATTTTCTATAAAAGCGATGTATTCATTAACAATAGGCAATACACGAGTTAAGTTAATTCTTCATTTGATTTAAAAAAAAAATCAGTTATATTCCCAATTCTACGATAAAATTTGGAACACATATAATAAACTATTTTTTGCCTGTGCCTTAATATATTTTGCTCTTTATTAAGTTAATGAAATCATTACATTCTGATAAAAATAGTTAATATACTTAATTGAATTTTTTTTATTCCAGTTGTGGTAGACGTGGACGATCGGCCAGTCTGCGTGGAAATCTGTGATACTGCTGGACAAGTGAGTACACATTTCTTCTTTATTTTCTGTTTTCATTGGCAAAAAAACCATTGTTGTCATCCCGTTCATCGTCTTAGTAATAGTAAAGATAGAAATATGTTTTGTATAGCTGTTTCGATTTGCACAAATGGTAATTTAATAGAGACATTAACTTTTAAAGTATAATGTTATTTTTATGAATTATCAGTGGTAGAGCCCGCTTTAACATCTTCGCACGAATGGGCCGGCTCGCCCGGTGTAATACCACTACCACACAGAAGACAAGCGTGAGGTGGAAGCAATTCCACGTTTCGTCTGATGAGTGTGGTGCCGGAGGCCCAATTTTAGTCCCTTTCCCGTCCCACCTTTTTCTTTAAGAGAGGGATGGATGGAAAAGTGGATTTGGCGGTGGAGGAGACGCATAGGATGGGGAAATATCCTCTTTATGTGCTTCTCCTCCTTCGTCGATTTAGGGTAGGCAACGCATCTGAAATTACGGATGTCTATGGGCAGCGGTCGCTTCGCCATTTTGGCGGATTGAGGTGGCCGTTTGCTCGTTTGCCACCTTTTTGTATAAAAAACAAAAAAATCTACACCTTTATAACACTAAATGATCAATATTACTTACAATTTCACCAACTATTTCTGTCTAAATGTTTTAAAAGCAATGAAAATAGACGGAAAATTCACTACCAAAAGCCCTTCGTAATTCCCCGCAGGCTTAATGAAGTAGGTTAATAGTGTAATTATAAAGTTTGTGTTATATTAAGCTCGTGGTATCATTACTTCATGGAATATTGTAGCTTACATTTATGTGCCGAATACTTTAATATCTAGCTTCAAGATTAAATTGAATCCCCACCTGGCGTACGGCGAAATGTTATAATTAGGTCTACTATTCCCTTATGAAAGACTAACTCATTTATTTCATAATTCACTTGCCCTTATCCCTTAGGAAGGATCGGCACAGTATATTCTGCTCTTCCATACATCTCTATCAGCCGTCATATCTGAATCCACTCCTTTCTTAAGCATATCCTCTTTCACACAATCCATCCATACTTTTGCGGTTTTCCTCTACCTTTGTAGCAATCCATATTCAATCTTAATCGAAATCGGCCCAGCTGTTTCGGATATTACCATATCACCCTTTTCTTATAAGGATAGAATAGTAGGGATTTGATGAAGATGAGAACACATAAGAGGAAATCTCGTCTTTCTATGACGATTTACGGTAGGCAACTGTTGTTGCAGATTTCGGTAATCCGCTACCTCATTTACCACCTCATAATATAAGAAAATAATTGCAATATATTAGATAGCAGATTCGTCAATCATAATACTAAAAAAGTATAAACTTTTACTGGTAAAAGTAAATATATTTTTACATTTGAACAGAATGCAATTTCTAACCAAACTTTTTAATGTTCAACATTACTTCGTATCAAAGCTACTCGAATGCCCAAGTTTAAGGTCCTGCATACTAAACAAAGGTGAATTGTACAGCCACCTGTCAATACCTAACCTTTTCACATATAAAAAACGATCGCACATTGCGCCTGTCGTTTGCAGATGCGATTTTTTTGCTCCTACTATTGTCGCACAGTTCACATCTTTCCGGTTTCCCACAGTTTCTTTTCACCTTCGTAATACAATAGATGTTTGCGTTGGGGTTAGAAGGAAATATTCCCACAATAATGAAAAAAAAATGTATATTTTAATAGTTATTACATTTCAAAGTTGTTTTAATAATCACCTTGCGTAGTGTGTAATTTATTTTAAAAACTATAATTATATTTGTAAACTTTAAAACTACTTTTAGACCTTGACTCGCTTAAAAATTGTACACACTGTTAAATACTTTATTTGCAATAAACTGACGGATTTGCAGTGAAAGTCTGTATATGTACTATACTTCGTCTTTACAGGGCTTCGTTCATTAAACCCTTTGTTGCATTAAGTGAGGGACGCTTGTAATTATACATGTGAATTGTTTGAACGATCACACGCGAAATTCATGTAGAACTTTCTTATAACCGACATTTATACCTATACTTCGTTTTATTAAATCTTAGAACTTTAGTTATAATGCTGCACCCAGAAGCGTTACTTGGCCAAAAAGAGAACCTATTAGTGTAGATGTCGCTTATCAAATCTACACTAAGTGCAGCATTTAACGTAACTGAGTGTCTTCATTTCGTCAATAGAATGCGATGACGTAAATAACGTGGATACATGTTACAAAATTATAGAGACGATTATAACGCATCTATAAAATTGTTTTAATTGCTCGTATCAACTTTCACCTTAACTCCGAGTTCAGCACTCAGTAAACAAAGGCTCGGATCTTTTTATGGGATCTTTTTAGTTGAAGCAAAACTAATTTACTCCTACGTTTATGCCTGATCGTGGGATTGTTTGTAGAAAACATTAATTGATAGTAAATATTAACTTACAAATTGTTTTCACGTTTAAGTAAATATCTTGCATAACAATGTTTCTTATTTTAGCTTAAAAATCACCAATAACTAGCATCATGTCCATAGAATTCTGAATTTGTGACTTATTTGTCTTTTATTGCCTGTAAACAAGGGCGGATCCAGCTTTGGTGCCAGGGGGTCACATAGTCGTGGTCAAGTCAACAGCTTGACAAAATATGTATCCTCATGACCTCCCCTGGATTCGCCCTTGCTTGTAAGAGGAAAAGACAGATTTGGAAGCTTACAGAGTATACATAGTCGATTCTTTGGCTTAACGGCACATCATTTTCTTGGCTTATCACGATACTTTTTTTTTCTTTTAGATTCCCGCCTGTATAGATTATTCATTTCTATCATATGTTTCCAGGACTCGATGTCAGAGCTACGAGCGCTGTGCTACCCGGGAACCGACGTGCTGATGCTCTGCTTCTCTGTGGTACGGCCGGAGACCTTCCGCTCTGTGGCTGAGCGCTGGACACGAGCCGTCGCCAGTGTGAACGCGCCCTTAGTGCTTGTTGGTACCCAGAGCGATCTTGCGACTGACGATAAAGTCATACAAGGCCTTAAGGTGGGTTAGAGTGAAGTCATTTTAGGATAAGAGCGTGAGCACACCGGAAATTAACTATCGCACAACTGTTTCTTCTCTTGGTCTGATTTGTTATATTGAGGTGCATACACTCCTCGATTTTGAGTTGTGTAACTAAACAATTAAATTAGCTGCAAAACAATCGACAATCGCACATCGTTGTGCGCCCGCTCTAACACTAGTGATCAATAATTAAGCCAATAATTTCGACTATGCTTCTATAACACTCTGTTGAAGATTGTTTTGTTGATATGTTCATTGAAGACCGTTAAACCCTCGATGTCCCAACGTCTTAGTTTAAAAAATGTAACCATTATCGTGACCGCGGCGTTCCTACAGCAATGCCTCTCTGAGATAACATCTGACAGTCAATACGGGTTATGCGGGCCCGATGCACTATCACAGTAATTGTTTTTGATTTATATTGTTACGTTGCATAATGATATACGACGCTGATAACTATGGAACGTGTTTCGATATTACATTTCGGTACATACTTGCATCGTAGGGCTGGAGTAGGCCATTATACGGTACGACAATGAACATATTTAGTTAAAATATTATTACAAACAATTGCAAATAGAAAACTGTCAAGAATAAGTTATACTTTTTACTGTAAACATTAATACAACCCGCATTAGTATCAGTATTTCAAAATGGACTAGTAAAATACCATTTTCCTCAAACACGTAACATTTTCAAGAGTATGAGGCCTGGGCGTGATTTCTACTCTACTCCTTTTTTTAACATTTGGGAGTATATACTGGGTTATGTAAGAGTGTGTAAATCGCAGATCTAATGCACCCCTTTCGGTCTAGCGCCCTGGGCCGTGGCCCAACCGTGCCCTATTCTAACGAAGGCGATGCCACAAAAAATAAAATAAAATACCATATATGGGTTTGAATCTTTAAGATGTTATAATAGTATTTTTTCTTTAATTCTAGGCAATCGGAGAGCATGCTGTGACTGAAATGGAAGCGAGGGCTTTAGCAACTAAAATAAACGCAGTTTACGTGGAGACATCGGCCAAGACGCGGAAACAACTCAAAGACGCCTTCGACGCCGCCATATTGGCGGGCTTGCCTGTCGTACACGCCAAACGACCGTTCTGGAAGAAATTGTTATGTCTAAATTAAACATCAAAGACTTGTTATTATTTTATCAAATGAGAATCTAAAATATACTGCACGAATTTACGATATGTTTGTAATAGGAAATGTTTTTTAAATGTCTTATATACTTTTAAAAACTGATTTTGTATCTGTCTCATTAAAAATCTTATAAAATGCTTAATCTAGTGAAACAGACAGACTTTTCAATATGTTTTTAACAATTAATGGAATGATTATCTATTATTATTTAAAATTACTATCTCTTTGTATTCGTGTAGTTATATTTGTTGATGTCAAAATTCTACAATAAATTCGTAAGCAATCGTCGAAGACTGATATGGTTAAACTGTCGACCAATGTATGGACGTGATTGACAATATGGGAATTATCTTATTTTAAATATTAAGCAAACAGCTTGAAATATGTCTCAAGAATTTCCCAAAGCTATATAATAAGTTTTTAATATGTAACTAGAATATGTGCCTTATTCAATAATTCAAAGATTTATATGTTGTACTAAAATTGTTGATATATTTGACGTTTTGTTAATTAGAATAACTATTATCGTTCTCTGTATATAAGCTCATGTTATATAAGTTAAGATTTAAAAACATCTAATGAAATAAAAAAAATATCCTTATGGATATGGCCTTTATTATTAAAGCAAAAAATAAAATTTTCACAATATTTCAAACAAATAAATTGTTTTAAGATCTGATGTTTGCAAAACATAATACTTGCTTTATAAAAAACATAATTTTCTATGTTAAAATATCAACATTGCGAGTTTTGAGGTCCCTTGTCTTTACAAAAACACGTTAAAAAGATTATTTTGTTAGTAAATTGATTACATTTTCTACAATGTAATAAAAACGTAATTTGTACAGTATATGTATTATAGTTAAATGTATATAAACAGTTGCTTTATGTAAATTTTGTTTTGATACTCAACACGAACTGATGATTATATTTTATTACGGCTAAAATTGTTTTATTTTTTCAATTCTCACCCCATCGGATAAATTAAAATTTAAAATAATGCACTGGGATTTTGCTACGCTAACTATTCTCTTTACTGATTGCATCAACCCATTTACTTTAATAACTAATACGGAAAACTACTGCAAGATGCTGGATTTGTATTTTTTTAAATTAGTTTTTATAAAAAGAAAAACAGAATCTAAAAAAATATGAGCAGTATCCTATTAGTTTCATAATTAAAATTTTGCTATTCAAATAATTCAGGCGTTTGGCACGGAGGCAAAGCTTAACTTTGTTAGCAAATTAAAGAATTTCAACGAAATGCAATTTTAGCAGCCGTTTTTCAACATCATAGATATGGTTAAATATTGAATTTGAAGGATCATCTGTGCGAATTCTTTTCTTTTGTTGACGCTTTTCTTTTCTGTTGACGTTGACAAAAGATTGAAATTTTAGAAAAAAAAAAACAAAATGTAACTTTTTTAAACACTTAATAGGGGACAGTCATTTATTTCATGAAATATAAATTTTAATCGTTGTAAAATATTATTTTAACATCGTATCTCAAATTGTGAAATTTATTTAAATCAGGACTCTTGCATTTTTGGCTGAGAACTTTCTTTTTATTTGCATTACTAAAACACTCTCTCGGGATTTTGAACATTTATATAAAAAATTACAATTAAATTCAGGCATGAAGTAAAACTTTCCAACAAAGGTAACAAAACTAATTTTATATCTATACTTATTAATTTGTATTTATTTTATTCTTGTTACTGCTTCCATCTCACTAGATTCCTGAAAGTTTGGCGTGAGTCTAAATAAAATTATATTAAAATTTTCACTTTAAAGTCCTGTTTCTTTAACACAAATACAAAATAAATATTACTAGTAGTAAAAGTATTCATATTGTCATAAAATTCAAAACATAAACATCTCAATATTTACAGAGAGAATGAAAGGTGAGTATGGTACAATGGAAACCGTTACGGAATCCTAAATAACGGGTCTTTGATTCTCTTACATTATTCCGAATACATCGCAATTAACAATGACCCAATAAAGTTAATGAAACAATATAAAGCTCTTAATTGAATGCACAAGTGCTATCTAAATTTATTCATTGTCGACTTTTACCTTGTACTTAAAGTTTTACAGTACTCGATGTTTAAGGAATTTCCTCTTTATGGGAATGGAATTTAGGTTATCAGGCTAAGAGAACATTGATTAGTAATTTACGTATCGTTCAAATTAAATACAATATATTATGAACTTTTATTTTAAGTCGAAAACCTGACTACGTTTGACCACCACGAAGAGTTTAAAGATTTTTCTATTTTATTTATTTACTAATGTTCATAATTACTAAAGTAGGGTTGGCGACAGGCAGGCGTTAAAATGAAGGTTTTTGGGTGTATAAAACTTGTGTCAACCCTATGAGAGTAAGGAGATGACGAGAAATGAATCTGCGTAAATCGGATCGCTGTACTAAAATGTAAACAATTTGTGTTGCGATCGTTTTTAAATTACAGTGTGTAAATTACAGAACGTATTAAATGATTTTATTATTATCTCGGGGTCAATTAAGTACACAATATGCTATAAACCATGAACATTGGTAACAAAGAAGTCTTTGTCTTGAAGATGTAATAAACAATTTTAAACGCAACAATAAACGATTTTTCAATATAGAGAAAGATTGGTGAAATTTCTGAACTGTCAGTTAAAAAAAGGTTAATTAGGAATAACAGTTTGGAAATGCAATATTTTTTTTAATGTAACATAACAGTAATGTTTCAATTTAAGTTACAACGGTGTGCAAAAAAAACTACTTGAACATCATCATTATTTAAGTTAATGTGCGTACAATAATGCTCCGATGTAATGATTTTACACTTCAATTTCCAAAAATATGATATTTTCAGAATTAAATGAATGTTGTGAGGAAAATAACAGAAGTTATAAATAAGAGATTTGTATTATTTTACTATTATCCGAATTTGCAAGAACTTATAGGTTTACTAAGTGAAAGGTAAACGAGCCAATAAAAAAAATAAATTAAAGTCACCTAATTTGATTTATAAAGTGACCTTAAATTAAGACATATATACGTAAAAACACTTTATATTAAATATCCTGAAATCATTACTTCTGATTGGTTTGAAACTTAAGTATATGACTGGAATAAAATAATTTTGGTCAGAGTAATTGTGTATGCATGTAGCTCACCGTTAAATTCCTCTTCCACTAGCGCGTCAAATTGTATAATTACTATTTCTGTCAGCTACGTTTACATGTTGTTCATATTTAACAATATCAGATAAAGGGAAACAAGTAATGGCAGCCACGAATAAGTGTTGTCAAGGGAAGGGAAGGAGGAGCTGGATACCTACATACTGCATCTTGACCTATCCTAGAACATCAGTTGGAGACGCCTAATCTGTCACGTATGCAAATTGAAATCTGTTGAGTAATTTTCATTCTTCTAAAATTGCAGTCGCGCACAGCCAGAGTCGCATGTCGAGTTGCTAGTGAAAATGAGGTCTTAATGAATGCCAATAAACATTGCAAGGCTCAGGCCATAACAAAAACATTCGCAATTCGCAGCGCGCAGTCCCATTTGAACTTTCGTGAAAAGTGGACGCTTAATATTTACGTCGTTCTTCAGATTGAGAAAATATCCTCTAAGATAATTTTATTGTTTTCTTGTTACTGTTTATAAAATTTAAACTCCAAAAGTTTTGTTTGTTTATTTAATTGAGGAAAAAATTGTATAAACTATTTAATTAAATCCAAAAACCGTAAAATCTGGTTCCGAATATATAATGTAAATCTAGATTAGCTGAAAATTTTAAAACAACAACAAAAAAAAGGCGTGAAAACAATTTTTTTTAAATATTTCAAATAGTAACGTGATAACGAAGTACATCAAGATGTATTCGTCTTTAGTGGTGTATTTTCTATCTGTTTTATTATTTTCTTTATATTTAACTGCTGCTGAGAGCATAGACAACGACTGGTGGCAAACAGCACTCATCTATCAAATATATCCGAGGTCCTTCAAAGACAGTAATGCTGACGGGATCGGGGACTTAAGTGGTAACATTATGACAAATTTTTCTTTTATTTAGAAGTTAACTGCATGTTTTGTTCAGTATTTATTAACTACTAACTCCCGTGCTACTTCATCCGCATGTAATTATAAAAACACTATTTTATTGTTTACATTTGTCAAATTCTCAATTGCAAATGTCAAAATTACCGTAACCATAATAACCTTGCTTCCTTAATGTTGGCAGCTTGTAGTTTATGGTCCCTCACACATGAAACTTTTTGCCAATTTAATTAACCCCATAAGTTTAATAGCGTAAAAATATGTAGCCTAAAGCGTGTCGTAAGTGTAGGGCTTTTTGTCAAAGAAATAATTATTCAAAAATATGCTGTGATTGCTGAGATTTTACGAGATGAAGTAGTATGTGTTTACGCCTTATTATATGAGTATAGATATAGACATAGATTTGTATTCAAAACCTTAAAATAATATACCTAATTTTGTTTTGTAGTGTAAAAAGAGTTACTTTAATTTTTGGAATTCAATCTCCATATAGGATACAACAAAAAATGTAATTTTTAGTTTATTCGTAATAACCTTATTATCCAGTACATAAAACTATATATTTTGTTTTTGCTCGCATGTTTTAAATAATACGTTACTGTTATTCATTTATCTTAGTTTTAATTACCACTGTTACAAAAAAATTTAGTACTCCATGTGCATCGGTGGTGTGAACCCACGGTTACATTTTTTAATAACTTCAGAAGCTAATAATAGAAAAAAAGTAATATAGATAACATGTTTGTTTATGTATAAATGTTCGTTGAACTATGACAATTATAATCGATCGTAAATTATTAATATTTTACCTTACAAGAAACGTAACGTTGAACTTTAAAGTCACCTACTACAAGCATACTAAAACACACATATCGCATACAAAAATGCATTTTAATGGGAAATGTAATGAGAGAAATTTACAACAATAAAACATACATTTGGAAGAAGTCTAAAAGAAGTTAAAGGGAATCTCTGATTTAGCATTTATTTCTTAGGAATAACAGAGAAGCTACCGTATCTAAAGAAGACAGGAGTAGACGCTATTTGGATGTCACCTATCTTCTTGTCACCTATGAGGGACTTTGGCTATGACATCACCGACTACAGGGAGATAGCGCCGGAGTACGGCAACATGGAACACTTTCAATTACTCATGAAGACGGCCAAGGAATTGGGTAAGCAGAAAGATGTTGAAAAAAGTCTGTTGTACATACAAAAAATAGCATAATTTATTCTTAAACACTTATAAATAACTTTTTTATAACAGTTATTTTGATTGACATGCAATTATAAATAAAATAAATTCTAAGAACATATTTTTTTGTCCATTGTCTAGTTTTTTGTCTATTGCAATTTTAATAGTGTACATTGCACAATTACTTACAATCACTTAATACAAAAACTTAAAAATACAAGTGCGATAAATATAATTCTACTTAGTTAAATTCATTAAAAAAACTGAACACACGTCGGTAAACAAAATTTAAATAGGGACATTCCCGCACACAAAGTCACAAGGAAAATAGATCCTTTTGCGTAACAGAAATAGGTATCTTTACTTCTTAACATAATTCTAAAATTATAAGGAAAATGTGATATAAGCGACAAACAGTTAAAGAAAAGAAAGTAGATAAATTGGCTAGGTTATATAACACTGGCCAGTTTTAACCCCACTTGCCTTGATTTCTACGACCCTTTTACCATTCCTTTAGAGGTGCCGCTTACTTTTTTTTTATAACATAAGGTGGCAAACGAACAACCGGCCACCCGGATCCGCTAAAATTGCGAAGCGACCGCTGACAATAGACAACCGCAATTGCAGATGCGTCGTCTACCCTTCTACGACGGAGGAGGAGACGCACATAAAGAGGGTATTTCCCCTTTCTGTGCATCTCCTCCACCGTCAAATCCACTTCCCCTCACCATCCTCTTATAAGAAAAGGGTGGTAAACTACTAAAACACTGCAAAAATTAAATGACACTTTACTATTCAATATTGGTGGGTATTCAGGTATACGAGTAATCTTGGACTTCGTTCCGAACCATACTAGCAACGAGAGCGACTGGTTCTTACGCTCAGTGCGACGAGAGCCCGGGTACGAGAACTACTATGTGTGGGCTGACGGCATCCCCGACCCTCACACACCGGGAGTCTGGCAACCTCCTAGCAATTGGGTAAATGTGAACTAAGGTCCTTGCAGCGATAGCTTTTTACAAAACTACAGTGTAATTTTCCATTTTCATATAATTAAAAATAATGTGTTCTACAGTAATTTAGTCTGTAGAGACACACGATGAATACTTTGTTTTAAAGACTTGTAATTGTTTAAAATGGGAAACACTTTATGAGATAAAAATTTACTCATATCTCAATATTAGTTACACTTTCGTTATGTCTTGTTAACAATCCCTGATGATAATTCTGAACATCAGACCATCGTTAACCGCAAAACAAATCTACCTAGCTTTCATTTTCACAAACATATTACAAAAGCTTTGGATATTGTTCTCAAATGAATTTCAAGTAATTTCTTATTGACCAAGGCTGATGAATGTTTTATGATCTTAATATGCAGGTGAGCAACTTCCGAGGCAGCGCTTGGCAGTACATAGAGGAACGCGGTCAGTATTACCTGCACCAGTTCGCCGTCGGCCAGCCCGACCTCAACTACCGCGAGCCGCGCCTCCACGATGAAATCAAAGTACGTGTGCAAACCTTATGACGTGATCATCCGTATGCGACAACAGGAAGTATAACGAGTAACCATAAGCGGTTAACATCGATGCCTTTCTTGTATAGAATCGCGTCGCATCTTCCACTGGCGCGACTTGGACTATACAATGATGACCAAAATATAGTGGAATTTGAGATTTATTGATATTGCATCTTTCCAAAAAGTCTTTGGTGTATTGTTTAATAAGAACATACAATAAAAATAAAGTTTAGAAAATGTTCAGTACAACTTACAATAATGTAGTATAGTATAAAAATAAGATATTCAGTTTCTTCTTTCCTTCATAAGAGTTGAAAAACTAAAGTGCCTAGATAACATAATGTATAATTTGTTCAGCAAGTGCTGCGGTTCTGGCTGGAGCAGGGCGTGTCCGGATTCCGAGTGGACGCCATCAACATGCTGTATGAAGCGCGGCCCGAGGACTTCGGCGACAGATATCCAGACGAACCACGCACAGGTAAACTACGCTTATACAATATTACAAAAGCTACGAAAGCCATCGATGAATTGTTGTGAGACCCATGGTGTAGATTTTGTAAGAGAAATGTACGCTAAGGGACTACTTGACTATTAAACGACTCGAAACAACAAAATGCAGTATAAAGCAAACATTGTGTATCAAGGTTTTCCACTCCAGGTATCTCAGGCTCCACTCCGGATGACTACACTTACTTGAAGCACATTTACACAAGGAATCTAAAGGAGACGTACGACGTTGTATACTCCTGGCGCGAACTTTTAGACGAGTATACGAAGTCTCATGGAGAACACAAGCTTATGATGACGGAGGCTTATGCAGATATTAGCGACCTCATTAAGTACTACGGTAACGGGAACAGAGATGGCGGTGTACCTTTTAATTTCGCCTTCCTCGGAGATATACATAATACCTCTAATGCTTACGATATCAAGCTGGTCATTGATAAGTGGATGACTTATATGCCTAGTGGGAAGACTGCTAACTGGGTGGTGAGTATATTTTTATTTACATTGATATGATTGAGTTATTTGAAACAGAAAGGATGCATGACCTGTTAGACAGGGGCGCTAAAAAGTGAAGATACATTTTTTAAGGGTAATCTAGTGTGATATTATCGTATATGTTTAGAATGGCAACCACGACCGGAGCCGGCTGGCGTCGCGGCACGGCTCCGACCGCGTGGACGCCATGAACATGCTGGCGTTACTGTTGCCCGGCATCGCCATCACCTATCAGGTAAATTAACTAAACGAAGCAATCTAGGATTTAGGCCAAAGCAATCTAGACTGTCTTCTTGAGGTGCCTGGCAGTATGAAGTTTAATGTTGTTTATTTAACTATCAATAAAGTCAGAAAGTTTTCACGTGTACCTAATTTTGTCGGTGATAATTTACAAGAAAAACTGAGAATAAGATTGCATGCAATGACACTTTGCAAAGGAATCTACGAGCAGAGAGTCTGTTTTACAATGAGGTAATAAATCCTTTAGTTTACTGTGGTAATTTATGCTGTACTCCCACAAGTATGTCACAGCCTGGCAATGTCCTCCAGGGCGAGGAGCTGGGCATGACGGACGGCTACGTGAGCTGGCAGGACACGCTCGACCCGCAGGCTTGCAACACCGACCCCCAGCACTACGAGCTGAGCTCGCGCGACCCGGAGCGCACGCCCTACCACTGGGACGCCAGCCGCCACGCCGGCTTCTCCGCCGCCGCCGGCCGCACCTGGCTGCCGCTCGCCGACAACTATGCTACCTTGAACCTCGCCAGCCAGCTGACCGGCAAGAGTCACTATACGGTATTGGTTCAAAACTACATCGACTTTAGATACACTCATGGGAGTCATTAGTAAGGGACAGCTGCCTAGAGACTCAAAAATTGTTAAGTTGTTCTATAAAAATTTGGAATTCTCTTTAGAATAAAAAAAATGTTTACTATTAGCTTGCCACTCTAAGCTATCAGCTGGCAACGCCGTAGATGCAGTACTTTTTAACTTTACAAAGACGAAACGTCGATGTTAAGTCTACATATGTGACAACAAAAAATAAAACAGTAACTTTTCTTCCAGTTCTACAAAGATTTGGCGAGTATCAGAAAGAAACCGGCAACTAAATACGGTGATCTGGAGACTAAAGCTATAACTGAATCTATTTTAGTAGTTAATAGGTAAGATTAAGACAAAATGTTCAAATAATTTTATTCAATCACTAGCTGTTCCCTACGGCTTCATCCGCAAGACATTATAAAAACTTTATTTTACTGTTCACATTTCTCAAATTCTCAATTGCAAATGTCAAAAAAATCTTGCTTCCTTAATGTTGGCAGCTTGTAGTTCCCTTTCCCATACAAAGCTTTTTCTAATTTATTTTCACCTTAAGTTTAATAGCGTGAAAATATATGGCTTAAAGCGTATCGTAAGTGTAGGGCTTTTTATTAAAGAAAGAATTATTCAAGAATGTGCTGTAATTGCTGACATTTTAGGCAACAAAGAAGTGTGTGTTTACGCTTTATTTTAATAAGTATAGATTAAAAAAAAACTGTCACTTAGTTTAAATATGTAGGTAGTTCTATTTTTATACTATATGATTTATTTTCCCTACAGATTATTACCAGGTTCACCAGGTATAGTGGGCATTGTCAATCTGTTGGACAAAGATGAGGTTGTTAATTTATCGTCACTCCGGCTGCTGCCAGATAAGATGGCGGTAGTCGCAACTGGAGTTGACTGTTCTCTTGATAAAGGGTAAGATTGCTTTTTGTAAATAATAAACATTCTGTAATATTATAAGTATGAAATATTCTAATATTTCTTGTAATCATTTTTGACCGATCTCAAAAGGAGTTCATCATTTCATTTGTTTCTTTTTAATCTAACACTTGTATAGGATTCATGGCAATAGTTGAAAAGAGGGATTAGACCCTACAATCAATTCCATACTCAATGAGCTATGGATGCTGTTTTATATTATATATGTTTGTTTCTTATATAGATTGGTTTAATTATATATATGTATGGTGGAGGAAGAAACCGCATCACACATCATACAACACTGCCCAGCAGTAACTGAAAACAGGGTTAGGTATCTTGGTTCACTGAGATTACTCCCAGAGATAACCAGCAATATAAAGGGGTTTGCTGGGGTTCTTCGGAGAGCTAGGTTGGCTGGAGTAATCCTCGTCCTGTTCCTCACGCAAAATACGCGCTAACCGTGGAGTTGCGGAAACTGTAGTCCCTATTACTACTAAATAAACTAAATATATATAAGGAATTTATTAATTAGTTTACTCTTTTTTTTTCAGAATGCCACTAAGCAAGGCTAATTTACCTGTATCTGCACATTGCGCTGTTGTGTTTGAAACCCTGTCTAATTGTTGTTGAAATTGTACATTTTTACACATTTAAGTTGATTACATTGTTTTACAATTTAATATTTAATTACTGTAATAAAGTTCTATCCCAATAATCTTACTAATATTATGAAATGAAAATTTTAGATGTTAGAGTTTGTAGCATAAACTGCTGGAGTCAATGAAGTTTGTTACAGACATAGAGGATAGTGCAGAAGAATATATACGCTATTTACTTTTATTACATAAATTCCATGCAAACAGAATCACAGACTAGTTAATAATAAATGCCATGTACAAGGCATATAACAGAGTACTTTTTATGAAAAAAAAATCAATCTATATGAACATAAACTAAGCAGTGTAAAAGTTACTGTCATTGTAGTTCATTACCTGAATATACATAAGTGTAAGTATATATCAGTATTGAATTATAAGTTATTATATTTGTAAATAAACAAATAATTTAGTAACATATATAGTTTTATTTAACACTTATTTTTTAATCCATTTTAGAAGTCCATCGCACCTTCAAGGAAGCATAAGCAATCCACATTATTTATAACATGGTCTAAATCTTTCTTTGCAATTGTTTTTCTTTTATTTTGTGATGTATATGTGTATGCTTCTTTAGCCATTGTTTCCAGAAATAGTTCCTGAAGGAAATAAATATGCCAATAAACACTAACATTATTATATGCCATACAAACAAAACAAGAAAAATCTTTTCTTCTGTTTAAAAGAAGTTAAAGTCTAAAGATTCTACTTGTTAAATACTTACGGTTGCCTTCGTTACTAAAAATACAGCATCACTTTGTACCATGCTCACATCTGGATCCATTCTCATTATGTTTCTTATCCTCGCAATCGGTAACTTTGTACGTGTTATTTCATTCCTTTGTGGAGTTTTCTTTTCTATGACTATATCGGTTTGTTTTTCGGCAACGTACTCTAACTGTTCTGAATTCAATTCTTCTAAATTGCTTTCGAGGTTTTCTGTATTTTGGTTTTCGTTATTAAAAAATTGATCCGTATCGTAAATTTCTTCGGACATATCTAACTCGGTTAAATGGCTTTCGTCCATAATTGTTATTGTAACTATAGAACAATTATAACATACTAATGAAAATGTTGTTTAAATCGTAAGATAATACCAAAAAAACTTAAAAACACCCCTTAAAAGTTAAAAGCGCGAAAATAAACCATTGTTTAGCTGTCAAAAGTGAAAATCAAAACAAAACGTCAACTTAAGTGTCACGGGTATGACTCGTTCGTTACCTGTTTTATAAATCGCACAGTTTTGCTGCTTTTAACGTTTTTAATATATTTTAACATCCATCATTACTTTTTATGTGTAGGTTATTCTTATTTTTATGTGGTTTGCTTTTAATGATCTGTTTAATTAATTATCTAGTGGGTTTATGACATCCTTAAACATCATCTGCTTATACCCGTGAGCAAATTCTTTTTAATGTCAAATTAAAACAATTTTTCATTTAAAATATCGTTTATTAAATAATAAAAAAATAGTTTATTGTGAACATAAAGTAGGAAGTTTCACTATAAAATAATGCTTTAAGTGTTTTTTAATATCACAAAATTAAGATATTACAAAATATTAATTTATTAGGGGTGTTCCGAAAATGTTTTGTACTCTTAGGTCTTATTTAAACTAGAAATTATGCTTTGTTCTTCATACTAAATAAATAGTTCCTCGGATTTTTTATATTCCTAAACACTTAATTTAATCTTGTTTTTTTATTTTCTATACACATATTCTTATAGCAGTAAACATTTAATTGAACATTTATTTTTTATATGAAGTCGCAATTTCTGCACCTTTTAACGACACATTTAATACAGATCCTTGAACTATTTTTATTATGATATGCAATATAGATCCTTATATTGGATCGCATTAAAATAATTAAGATTTCGATAAAAAAAAGATATATAAAAACTAGATATACGCTTAGTTTTCGTTTTTCAAAGTTAGGAACTTAAAAAAATTGAAGTAATTCACACATTCACAAACATTTATTAATTAGGAAATAGTCTATTAACATTATCTTAAAGATGTCCTTACAATATATTTATTTACAAAATGTACATAAGTACAGTCATACAAATAAATATTATGTGATTAGATTAATAAAGATTATACGAAAAAGTTGCAACTGGCAACATTTGAAAATTAATTTTATTATACACTTTTGATATCTTTTACATTATATTAATTCCATAATTATTTAGTTGGTTGTTTTTCGTAGAATCCTGTTAATATTTACTTAGTTAAATCTGGCGAAACAGCAATGTCTTCGATGAAGAGAGTAACAATTATCAAAATAGATTTTACATAAGTTATCTGTCCCTATATCCATTAGTCAAATTAAATTATGACAGCTCACTAACGTCGTGTGTCAATGTCAAAAATGTTGGAAGATATTTTTTTCTCTACAAAAGAATTGCTTGGAAATTACAGCATTGATTCGTTATGATTTGTACAGTTTTTAAAGTTCCTGATATGCATCGCTACATACAACAAAATTAGCGCCAAAAGGGATAAAATCAAATAAGCACAAAAATATAACCTGTCCATTTTTAGAGGTCAGTATAGCTGTCATGTTTTTCATGTCTAGGTTTAATATATTTTCAGACAGAACAAATATCGTTGTTTGATTACATATTTTATAGATTTAACTGTCATTTTCTTTACTGATCTAACCACTTGTGTCGTTTTCTTATTAACCACATTCACACAGATTTGTATATATCTAGATTTTAGTCCATTTGGAAAGGTAAGTTAGCCGCTATCCTTGGTTTCTTCTTCCTTTGTGGTTTCTTTTTTGCATTTTGCGGCTGTTGGGGTATCTGGAAAAAAACTTTGTTTTAGTTGGTCTGCATTTATTGAATGTAGTTAATAATCGAATCCGTTAAAAGTAAATTTTATAAATACGTAAAATAACCTCAAACCAATCTTAAGTTATTAATACTGATGCTAATTCTATTATATTCAGAAAAATTGTCACGCGAGAAAGGGACAGGCTACAAGCTGCCAACATCAAGGAAGCAAGATTACCTTTGTTATCTATACTAATATTATAAAGAGGAAAGATTTGTATTTTTGTATGTATTATATAATAACTTAAAATCCATTACGCGGATTTAAAAAATCTTTCACCATTAAAAAGGTAATTTATCTGATAGTAACATAAGCTATATTTTTTATATTTTTTTAATATCACGGGAAAGAAGTCGCAAGCAACAGCTAGTCATTTGTCTAGTTAGTCAGCTAGTCATTTATAATGAATTTGCAGTTAGAAATATCACAAACGTAAATAAAACAAAGTTTTTATAATTCGATGGGGGTGAAGCCGCACGAAAACAGCTTGTATAGTAAAAAAAATATATGCAAACTGACGGTGTGTTGCGCGTGCGGCGGCTGCGCGGGGAGCTGGGGCTGGGGCTGCGCCAGCGCTTCTGAACCATCTCTTCTACTGCTAGAAGGAACCGTATTCTGTACTCTTCTGGAAGATAAACGTAATACATGTGTTGGGGCGATCAAATAAACGGACTATAATCACTTTTCTCTCCCTTAACCCTAGTTTTACAAGATACTTTTTTTTATTTTTTTTTTGTCTTTTATTTAGAAAACGGCTATCTCTTTGCTTCTTTTTTGTGTATGTATTCCTACATTTACTGCAGTACCATACGTCAGTAAAATCTCACTCTAGTCATCGTTTAGAAAAAACTTTCTTACATCTTCGTTCAAAAATATGGATTTATTCACATACATTAGAGATATATAATTTAGGATTGGCTCTCTAAGACAGTATTACCCGACAGAAAGAGTAATGTTTTTCGCCCGTATTTTTGTATGTATGTTAATTTAAACTTTTAAAATGTCGATTGTTTTTAAATTGTCGATTGTCGTTTAAACTTTTAAAATTTAAGTTTAAACGACAATCGATTTTGATAAATTTCAATTTGTATTCTTCTCCAAGGTTTTATAGGATTTATATCGAAAACATAATATTGATATGAGAGTTTAATTCTAAATAAACAGTAAGTAGGAACTTCAAATACACACGTAATTTTTTTTTCAAGTGTTTTTCCTTTTTTTCTGAAGTATATCTAGTGGAGTTTGTCAGTTTTTTTTAAATTATGGTTAGGTAATTTCTCATATTAATTGACTAATTAAAAATGCCAAGGTTCCTTCATATGTAAACTGCTAACCGTTTAACAAATTTTGACAGAAACATTACATTTGTATATCTAGTAGAGACATTTCGTTATTTATTAATTTCTTTTATTATTTTTCAATATAAAATAATCGAAATATTCGCTTACCTTTGACTGGTCTGCACTTGCAAGGGTACAAATGGATTGGAGAGTCTGTCCGCGCTCTGCGTACTACACACTGGCTTACTGGCATTAGGCACTGTTGATAGATTCTGAAAAATAATAAAATATTTATATGACGCAAATAAGAAAATAAACAGTGTCCTTAGTATTAAGGAACGAACGAATTTTATAAACAAAACAGTTATTTTATAAATGACTACTTGTAGTTCGAAACTTAATGGAACTAAGTAATAATATAGCTTATAACACTTAGTAATAAAGTAGCTTTCTAATGGTTAAAGAATTTTCAAAATCCCTCTAGTAGTTTTTGAGTTTATCTGTCACAAAGATATTCAAAAATATATAGAGAAAACATAGTTGACACTTGAAACATTTTCTAAATAATCATACTAGTGCTACCTGGTGTCCGATAGTTAAAATCACAAACAATTATTATAATTTAAATACTAAGAAGCGTCTCGGTCAAAGACATTAAGATATAACCATACAAAGAAGTTACCGGTGAAAAAATGTTATTTATTATGTCTAGTCTATATATTTCTTAAATATCTTTGGTACAAAAATACAAAAGTATCCTCTTAAGGTACATCATACTAATATTATAAATGTGAAAGTATAGATGGATGAATGTTTGTTAGAGTTTTTAGCCTAAACGGGTGAACGGATTTCAATGAAATTTGGTATAGACGTAGAGGATAGTGTGGAAGAACACATAGGCTATTTGGTTTTGTTTTTTTTAATTCCATGCGGATGGAGTCGCGGACGAAAGCTTACAATATTGACATACATTGCCTTGCACCCAGCTGGGTCCCAGCACGATGTTGTTGGGGGTGCTCGGTGCGAACACGGGGTGCGGAGGGTGTGGGGGGTGCTGGGGGTGTGTCGGGGGGTGCGGGCGGAACTGCGGGAAGGGCAGGTGTGCGGCGCCCGGCACCTGCAGAGGCTTCGACATGCCCACCAGCTGAGGGAACGGCGCTGCGTTCTGTAATAAAAAAAAATTGCTAAAAGTCCGCGTAAAACAAAAATATACCGTCACTAATACCGTAGTTATTTATATAAAGAATTTTAAAATGGGCCCAGTAGTGGAGTTATTTCAATATATACAAAAATAGAAATCTTTCTCTTTTATTAGTGTAGATATAATAAAAACGTTTCTTTACTATTTACAGTAAGTGGAATTTTCAAATGAAATGGTCGAAATTCATATACTGAAATAAATACGAAGGCTCTTGCTGAAAATTTAAATAACCCATGACAATTTTTTGCTACTATCCGATTTTAGTTTTTGTCCCTTTCTCATAAAGCAGTTTTATCCAAATTTCTTACCCCTAAGTTTAGTAATGTGAATACATATAGCCTAAAGCGATATTAAAGTGTTTTTAGTGAATAAGAATGATTGGAATACATTTTCTAATAGCTGACATCTTACATAACAAAGTGTATGTTTAGGTTTTTTTATATTAATATAGATATAAATAAGTTACCTTCAAATTGGAGTTTGTCCATTCATTGTGCGCGGGCGCTCGATTGCTTTCCTTACGCCAGTTGTCTTGCGGCCTGTAAACAAATTAACACATTAAATGCTACCATTTTCTACTAAAAAGACCCAAGACGTGCATATACATATGAATGAAATTAAAAAAATAAATAGAGAAGGCATAGTCGATACTTTACTTTGTAAATTGTTTTATGAATTGTTTCGAGAAAGTACCGATTAATAAAATTTCGTTCAGTTTGCTTCGACTTTTTAAATCTCTTTGATTTGAACATAGAAGAAACGTAGGAGGTGTCAGAACCGCACCTAAAGGTCCATAGTCTCTGTCTACCCCTCTGGGTTACGGGAATAAAATATGTTGTTGTTTGTGAACTAGCAGACTGTGGCATTCAATGTGTTAATATACTATTTTAAAATAAAATAACAGTCGATTACTGAAACAAATAAATATTTCGTGATTCGCTTACAATGTGACAGACGTCAGATTTTATTGTAATTTGTAGTTCAAGCGTGGTTACATATTTAAATTTCGTTTCAGTATTCGACTTTTAATATAAGATGGTTTTATGAATAAGTGTCTATTGCGTAAAAATGTATTATTTTTAATCTGCAAATACAGTAAAGATGTAAAATTGATTTTTATAGCTATTACATACTAAAATTTCGATATAATGAATTCTAAACTCAATTACAAAGCATTAGCTTGCAAAAAGCTGATATTACAAGCATTAAAACATTTCTAATTAAAAATATAAACGAAACAATATTAAATAAGCATATTTTATTTATTTATTTGCATATGTTCTGAATGTCGAATATATTTTTAAAAATACTTCTATGGCAACACTTGTTAGCAAATCTTACCCCGCGAAAAAATTCCAAAAAGGACCTAATATGCTGCTTGTAAAATTATTAACAATAAATTATATAAATCTTTATTAATTTATCAAAATAATAGGCAATATGCATATGACGCCAAATTGTACCAAACTTTTTTTAAGTATACTTTATTACTATAAAAACATACCTATAAAGATTTTTTTTAATGTTATGTGATTTAGTGGTGAAATTTAATCTTTAACATTTTTTTTAAAGTATTTTTAGCTCAATAGTTGAATATTTTTGAGTCATTTTTTTTCAGGTTATTTTATAACAAGTAGAAACGTTTAAAAAAAGAAAAAAATACATGCATATTCCTTATTCATATTATTGAAGTAATTTTAATATCTTTAGTAAAATTATGTAATTTAGTGGTAAATAAGTCTGTTTAAATTTTACTAATAGTAAAAGTATAAAATGTTTAGTAAATACAAGTGTTTTTAAATTGTATATTTGTTAATAATTAATTAAAAATATAGTTTCTACTTACTTTGGCGGCGACAATGGAGTTTTCTCGGTTTTACGCCAGTTAGTTTGTTCAACGGAATTCTGTAACATATTAATTAATGTAAAAATGCCAAATACGGGACATAAAAATTTAAATAAATAGCAATATATTATATATATATTACCTTATTTTTCTTATTAATTTCGGTTTCAGTTTCACTTATCTTAAGTAAACTTCTGAGAAGATTTGTTGCGTTATCCTGAATAAAATACAATATTTAAATTCATCATTAGATTATAGAACATTTAGAGCGGACGCACACCTTTGACTAAACTATCGCACGACCGTTTAGACCGACCGACTCGCTTTGATTCCTATAAGCGTATATGGTGCAACTAAACAGTGGAATGGGCTTAAATATCTTAATCTTACTAATATTATAAATGCAAAAGTTTAGATGGATGGATGTTTGTTAGAGTTTGTAGCCTAAACGGCTGAACGGATTTTGATGAAATTTGGTATAGATGGGGAGGATAGTCTGGAAGAACACATAGGCTACTCACTTTTTTTTTTTAATTCCACGCGTACGGAGTCGCGGGCGAAAGCTAGTAATATTACAAATGAGAAATGGATGTTTGTTAGTTTGTAGCCTAAACTGCTGGAAGGATCTCGATATAATTTGGCATAGTTATATAGGATAGTCGCCGGAGAAATCTAGTAAATAATAAGACAATTTTTGGTATATATTTTAAAATATAACTGACCGGAGGGCCGCCATTATTGACAATGTTGGGTACTGCCTTGTTCTTGTCGGCAATCGGCGTCTGTCTGTCTGTCGGCGGACTGCAAGTTATATTAAAAAAACTTTTAATATAATAAATAAAAAGGCGATTATTTTAGAAACCGCATGAATAGTGAGGAGGTTCCTGTCTCTGCAGCCCTGACCACTGGTTGCTTGAGTCATCGGATTCCGCAGCCGGTGGACTTCTATTTTTTTACATATGTTTTATTTTGTTATTTAAAAAAAAATCATGTGAAATATATTAAAATAAGAAAATAAAGATATGAGAATAATAAATAATATATACTAAGTTCTTTATGTTAATTCTTAATGGATTACGTATTCTTTGTATTCCGAAAAGAATTTTTACAAATATTTAGATCTTTTCTTGAGGTTGGTTTTTATCAGTGTTAGCAAAAGAGAAATAAAAAATACTGTAATATCCAAGTGTGAAATAATAAGTGATACATGATTAATGGTTAAATGTTTTAGTATTATCACTACATGTCTTAGTTTTAGTAAATGTTTTAATTTTGGTATTTTTTAATATATGTTTTATTTTTAGTATATGTTTTAGTTCTAGTATTTTAGTATATTTTTAGTTTTAGTATTTTAGTATATATTTTAGTTTTAGTATTTTAGTATATTTTTAGTTTTAGTATTTTAGTATATGTTATAGTTTTAGTATGTTTAGTATATATTTTAGTTTTAGTACTAGCATGTACCTGTAGCTGGCGAAGGCTGAGCGGTGTTCGCGGCGCAGTAGGACGGGCGCTGGGGGCGCTGGGGGCGCGGCGGGGGCTGGGGGCGCGCCGGCCGCCGCCCACTCGGGCTCGGGCGCGAGCGCGGCGGCGCTGCGCAGCTTGCGACCGTACGATATGTTCAACATCTTACTCTCCTGCATTCTGAAAATAATGGAATTTATAAAAGCCTTGCACTTACGTCACGCTTTAGGCTATATATTTTCACGCCATTAAACTTAGGGGGTAAATATTTTGGATAAAAATCCTAATGTGGGAAAGAGACCATAAGTTGCTGCCAACATCAAGACAGTAAATTACTAAGGTTCGTCATGTCATGTCATTTTAACAATTGCTATTGATAATTTGACAAATGTTAACAATAAAATAAAAATTTCATAATTTCATGCGGATGAAGTCCACTGAAACAGCTGGTTACTAATAAAACTTGTCAAAGTATAAGATACTACAAATACTGACCTGTAAAACCTGGTTTCATTGAAGCCCTCCTCCAGCATGCCCCCAGGGAAGGGTGTATCAAACATGACCTGGTAGGAAGGGGTGGCATTCAGTTTGTCTGCGAGGCGCACCGTGTTGCAGTCCGCGGGCCCGTACACCGCCGTGATAGTGCCGCGTAGTGCGTACGGCACGCTCATAGTGCGTGACACGCACACCACGCGGTCTAACAGCTGGTAGTCTGCTTTAGGGTCCGGGGATATGTTGCCTTCGTGTAGTTCCGGCTGTTAAGGAAAAATTTCCATTAAAAATAATAAAAAATACCTTTCACTAGTCTGTTGGCGCGGAATTAAAAAAAAAATGCAAGTAGCTTATGAGTCCTTCCGGACTATTCTGTATCCATACCAAATTTCATCGAAATCCGTTCAGCCGTTTAGGCTACAAACTCTAATAAACATCCATCCAACTAAACTTTCCCTTTTATAATATTAGTAAGATTATAAAGGGAAAAGATTTCTATTTCTTTATTTCTATTTTTGTAAGTATTGAAATAACTCAAAAACTACTGCTCCAATTTAAAAAAATTGTTATCAATAACATCTTACTTATATTACAAATGGGAAAGATGGATGTTTGTTAGAGTTTGTAGCCTAAACGTCTGAACGGATCTCGATGAAATTTGGCATAGACATGGAGTATAGTCTGGAAAGACACAAAGACTACTCATTTTTTTTAATTCCAGGCGAGCGAATGCTAGTAACATGTTTAACGAATTTGTCCACATTACCTTATACAACAAGGTCCATTTGACATGCAAGGTGGGTGTCTTCTGTTGCTGTGTGTGGTGTTGCTGCGCGTCCACGTGTGCGGCGAGCGCGCGCAGCTCCTCCGGCTCCAGCGCCTGCGAGCCGCACGTGCGCCGCGCCGCGCGCCCCGCGCCCTGCGCCTTCAGCCACGTCACCACCGCTTGCGGCTTCTTCTCTCTGGAAGGAAGTACACATTATACAAATATACTAGCTGTTCCCCTGCCACTTCATCCGCATAAGCATTTTTTTTTATAATATAAGTTGGCAAACGAGTAATCGGCCACCTGAATTCACCGAAATGAAAAGCGACCGCTGCCCATAACATCCGCAATTGCAGATGCGTTGCCTACACTTCATTGACGGAGGAGACGCACATAAAGAGGATATTTCCCCTTCCTATGCGTCTCCTCGACCGTCAAATCCACTTTTCCTTCCCATTCTTTCCTCTCAATAAAAGAGAACTTAAAGTAGGCCTCCGGCACCACACTCATCAGACGAAACACGGAATTGCTTCCATTCCACGCCTGTCTTCTGTGTGGTCGTGGTATTACACCGGGCGTGCCGGCCCTGCAGTGCTGAGATGTTTAAGCAGGCTCTACCACTGTTAAAAATGTCAAAATACCAGTTACCTTACTATGGCAACTTTGCTTTCTTGATGTTGGCAGCAACTTATGGTCTCTTTCCCACTTTAGGGTTTTTATCCAAAATATTAACCCCCTATGTTTAATGGCTTGAAAATATATAATAAAGATTTATTCAAAAATATGCTATAATAGGGAATATGCATGTATCTTTTTTTCTTTTTTTAAACGATTATGTTATAAAATAACCAGAAAAAAAAATTGACGCGAAATCATTCAACCATTGAGCTAAAAATAATAATAATAATAAAATAAAATTACGACCACTTTTGAGCGATTAAAACGCGGTCGGAGTTGTCATGAGACAATTGACGTCAATCGTCATATTCCATTCATAGCATACGCTGAGATACTACCATACAAGTTTAAATTAACTTATCTAAAAAATTTCTAAAAACAAAGTGAACTCACCCGACTTCCCCCGGCCACAATTCCTCTTCGAATATGATATTCTTGTCGTAGTGGTAGGGCAGATTGTCGAAGACCTCTGGGAAGTGCTGCGCGTACGCCTTCACGAGGTCGAGGCAGCGCTCCGAGTACTGCCACGAGTTGCTGACGGCGCAGCGCCGCGTGTACCCCGACACCTCTTGATTCTGTACACATATTTACAATAATATTACTCATATTATAATTGCGAAGGTTGTTTTATACACTAAATCTTATTTCTATTTTATGTCACTAAGCCTAATTTAAAAACAACACAATTTAAAATACCATATAGACGAAAAAATGTTGACTGGAATTCAAAAAGGCAATTAAAATTATTTACAGTTAATAATGATATACAATAATAAAAAAAATCAATTAGAACACAAATTAAATAAGTAAAAAAAAAGTCAAATAAACAAGTGAAAACAATGAATTACTACACCCTATTCCTCTGGATGACTGAGGGCCGCCTGTTTGCAAATTGCGAAGGTTTACATGGATGGATGGATGTTTATTGCAGTTTATAGCCTAAACTGCTGAACGGATCTCGACTTGGCATACATGTAGAGGAGAGTATGAACACATTTTCGTATTTTAAATATCACACGGACGGAATCGCGGACGAAAGCTAGTAATTAATAAATAAACATACCTTTTTGTTGAATTTAAGATTAAGTCCTATGTTAAGTTTATTCTGATTTTCTGTAGGAAGGTTATTCCTTTCACCGAGAATAACAAGAACAGTGCCGGTGATGCGAGACAGCATCTGTGCAGAGATACCTGAAATATAAAAATAATTAAACACCATAATTTGCAGATTTTAGCAAAAAAGGCGCAAAAGGTGGGACGGAATAAACTTTTTATTCTCATCTGTCCCCACGTGAGAATTAAATGTTTTATCCGTCCCCCCTTTAGTCTCACTATCACCAATAAGGCGAAAGATAGAACCACTATGTAATAAAATAAGTTTCTACCGTCCTGTCGTCGCAAAAGGTGGGATGGATAAGACTTTTTATTCTTATCTGTCTCCATTTGGGGACAGAGTGGGGTGACGGTTGGGAATAATCCAAAATATGGATGAAATTGGCATTACCGGCCACGCATATATATCACAAATTTCAATTTGGGGGTGTAGTTTTAAGTAAAAATTACCGCAAGCTGCTGCAGCGTGGTTGGCGGCGCGGTAGGGGCTGGCGAGGAGGCGGCGGCCGGGCGATGGCTCGCTGGTCTCCGTCACACACACCTTGATGCGCCCGCTGCCTATGCACTCGGAATCCACGATCTAAAACACGATTATTATATACTATATACAATCAGGGAATCTGACGGTATTTTTAATAGCTACAGTTCGAATATTTTGAACGCATTGAAAATGCAATATATACTAATTATAAAGGGGAAAGATTTGTATATTTTTATTTTTATATGTATGGAGATAACTTAAAAACTATTGGGCCGATTTTAAAGATTCTTTAATCATTAGATAATTTATCTGTGAATAACATCTTACTAATATTATAAATGCGAAAGGTTGTATGGATGGATGAATTGAGGAATGGATGTTTGTTAGAGTTTCTAGCCTAAACTGCTAAACGGATTTCAATAAAATTTGCAATAGATATAGAGCAGTCTGGAAGAACACATAGGCTCACTATTGTTATTCTTTATTCTACGAGAATGGAGTCGCGGGCGAAAGCTAGTAGATTATATGATTTAATTTCACGCAAACGAAGTTGCGAGCAACAGCTAGTACCCAATATGATGATTTTAAAATATTTAGGAAAATACGTCTTCAATACACTATTAAGTAGTTATATGTTGTTAAAAAGCAAAAAATGTGTACTATATAGCATTTTCTGGTTATAAAAACATTAAAACACCAAAAAGTGATCAAATTTACGGATGTACGGCATACAATAATGAAGATAAAGATTTACCTTAGCCAAACATCCATAATACTGTCCTTGGGTCAGCAAGAAGACGTGTTCTCCTACGGGGTATGCCTCCTGGGGTGAGCAGAACCTATGGTGGGTGGTGGTGTGGTATGCGGCGACGGGCAGCACGGCCTGCAGCGCGTACCCGCACGGCACCTCGCACCACTCCGCTTTACGCACCATCGCCGTTTTATCCTGGATTATATACTTGTAACCTGCAGGATACAAAATTTATTAACAAACCTATCTATTTATACTAATCATATTTGAAAGGTGCCACAATTTTAAATAAGATATAGCCTATGTTACTCACAGATAAATTTCCTTTCTAACGGTGAAAGAATTTTTAAAATCGGTCCAATAGTTTTTTAATTTCAATGCATACAATAATACAAATCTTTTCTCTTTATAATATTATTATATGTTGATTATAGATTAGCATTTTTTTTGATACTTTTTTAATAAAACTAATATTTTTTTTTTACTAAGTAGTCTTTATATTGTAGATTATCCTCTACATCTATATTCGATCAGCAGTTTAAACTACAACTCTAACAAACATCCATCCATACAAACTTTAGCACATTTATAATATTAAAAAGAATATTACTAGGCATAAACTAGACTAGTTTAAAAATTATCAATTAAATCGTATACCCGATATTCAAGTCGATTATAATAGCTTTTACATTGGAATTAGCTTTTGCCAGCGACTCCGCGTGGAATTAAAAAGTACAAAAGTGAGTAGCCAATGTGTTCTTCCAGACTATGCTCTACATCTCTGTCAAATTTCATTGAGATCAGTTCAGCGTTCAGCTGTTTAGGCTACAAATTCTAACAAACATCCATTCCATCCATCTAAACTTTCGCATTTATAATACTTCCAATCTTTATAACGTATATAAATTAAAACTATGGAAATATACCTTACCTTTAATATTAACAGCATGAACTATAATATTGACGTCTCCTAATTCAATGCCAAGTCGATTCATATTGCTGAAAAAAAAAATACAAATTATAAAAAAAATATCTCAAAAATCTTAGTAAAATACTACAAATACAGTAACATAGACAAGATTCAATCTCGATAAATGTAATAGATTTAGAAAAATTACAAATTTTAATATTAAAAAATTTATTTGTATTTGATTTTGTATTTTCAACATATAGAAACATTTATTTAACATAGGTTATCAAGTTAAAGTAATAAAACTTAAACATACTGTTCAATAATAGTAGATCGTTCAGATATCCACTGTTTGTGTAGATTTCCTGCGTTCACTTCTGTGGAGTAAGTACCCTGGACGTCCATATTCTTCCCCACATGATGCATCCTCATCTTCTCATTAGATACTGATATCACTCTGGAAATTATAAATACAATATTACTTCTAACTATTAGACGGTTAGAGGTTTGTTAGTTTATAACCTAAACGGCAGAATGAATCTAGAGTGAAATTTGTATTTAGAGAATAGTCTGGAAGAACACACCGGGTACTTATATTTTATTTTATTAACTCCACGCAGACGTAAAGTAGTACAAATATAAATTCGGTTAAATACACATATAGTAAAACTGATTGCCATATACGTAGTTAAAAAAAATATTTTGAAATAAGGATACCTCGCCTAATAAAACAAAAACGTCTGGCTATTTCCTTTACCATAAACAATAAATAATTTAACAGTGGTAGTGTCCGCTTTAACATCTTAGCACGAATGGGCCGGCACGCCCGGTGTAATACCACGACCACACAGAAAACAGGCGTGAAGTGGAAGCAATTCCGCGTTTCGTCTGATGAGTGTGGTGCCGGAGGCCTAATTTTAGTCCCTTCCCCTTTCCATCCCTTTCTTAAGAGGAAAGGATGGGAAGGGGAAGTGGATTTGACGGTGGAGGATATTCATAAGAAGCGGAAATATCCTCTTTATGTGCATCTCCTCCTCCGTCGTATAAGGGTAGGCAACGCATCTGCAATTGCGGATGTCTATGGGCAGCGGTCGCCTCGCCATTTTGGCGGATTCTAGTGGCCGCTTGCTCGTTTGCCACCTTATGTTATAAAAAAAAAAGTCAAAAAGCTATTTACACACAAGCAAGATAGATGGCGCTAATTTCAAAGTTAACTTAAAACATATTAAGCAAAATTTGTACTAATGTTTGCTTATACTCAGTTTATTTCTAAGTTTAACTTTATAGCGCGTTTATTTGTAAGGCTGTTTGTGTGTAATAATTACATTTGGTAATACTTACTTAGCTTTGGTGAGATGTGGCCAGCCGACCCATATGACCTTGCCCAGCAGTTCCCTCGCCACCTGCTCCAGAGGAGGCTCCTCCTCTCGTATGATCTCCACTATCATGTTCTCGTTGCGGGAAGGTTGGTCGAACACTTTCACATGCTTCTTTATTAAGCTGGTCTGGAAGATGTTTATTTTTAATATAAAACAAAAAAATGTACTCATACATATAAGGATATATTAGTAAGTTTTTTTTAAATTCTGAACAGAAACACTAATACTAATATTATAAATGCGAAAGTTAAGATGTATGGATGGATGTTTGTTAGAGTTTGTCTAAACTGATCGGATCTCAATGAAATTTGGCATACATGTAGAGGATAGCCTGGAAAAACACATAGGGTATTTGGTTTTGTTCTTTTTAATATCACTCAGACGGAGTCGCGGGCGAAAGATTGTATAAAATAACTAAGTGCTATTTAACATAATTATTTTATTTTAAAAAATCTTAGCTAAATTTAATATATTACTATTAAATTAAAGGAAATATTTCATCATTCAATTTCTATGAAATTTCATACAGTAAAAGTTATTTTTTAAGTATTCCATAAACGGTAACAAAAATATTGATTAGTACTATACCTTATACTTAAGATGTCGCATGGTAGGGAAGCCAGGGTAGAGTAGGTCACGCTTGGCGTTAGGCAGCATTCCCCTCTTGAGCTGGTCCTCCGGCACGTCCAGCTTGGACCTAAACACCAGCAGCTCGATGGCGTGGTTCTCCGTTATCGGCGGGAAGTATGCCGGAGATAATGCCACACCTGAAGGAAAATTACATTTTTATTACATAAAATATACAAATGGGTAAATGATCTAGTTATTGACACTAGGTATTACCATTTTAGTTCCAAAGTGTACAATATTAGGGTAAATGATACAGTTGTTGACACTACGTATCATTTTAGTACCAAAGTGTACAATATTAGGGTAAATGATCTAGTTGTAGACACTAGGTATTACCATTTAAGTAGCAAAGTTTACAATATTAGGGTAAATGATCTAGTTATTGACACATAAAGCAACAGTTAAAACAAATTTACTTAAACAAACATAACTAACGTTTATATTTAGATTTTTAACTAAGATTCAATGTATACATGTAGATACTGTATTAACATGTTTTGTTGGCAAACCTATATAAATAAACATAAGCTAAGACAACCATTCATACCTAAGTTAGCAGGAGACCAGTTGTATATCAACATAGGCCCATGACTATTCCTTTTCAATTCATCTTCAGTCAATCGCTGGTAGCAGGGCGCCATCGCTGACAGCAAATTTGTCTGAAACAATTTGTAACATTTTGTTAGATATATATATATTTTTTAATTGGATAACCAGCACATGACCACTATCCCATCTAGACCAAGATGAAGATGTGGTCGAAGGATGGTACGCGCTAGTTTAGTAATTTGGAAATAAGATCCAAATCTACTAATAAAATGTTAAAAATCTAAATTTATTTCTGGTTAATACTGTATCAGCCAGCTTTTTACATTAAAAATGTAAGAGCCAAATATTAAAACGACTTTATTTAAGCACCATTTACAATCTAACAGACGATAATTATTTTATATTTTGAAGTGCAAGTGGAATTCGCCAAAATAGCAACAATACTGTCGCCCATAGATGTCCTTATTTGCGTATGATTTACTTCATCATCATTATCATCACCAGCTCACTATACGTCCCCACCGAGGGGCTCTGAGCCTACTCTGAAGTTAGGGTGACTAGGCCATAGTCAACCACGCTGGCCCAGTGCGGGTTGGTTGACTTCACACATATCTTTGAATTTCATCGCCGATATGTGCAGGTTGCATCACAATGTTTTCCTTCACCGTAAGGACGTCGAGTAAATTTATTTATATTGATTTACTTATCTTTAATCAATAGAAGAAGATATTTATCCTACTTATGTGTTATCCATGATATTATTTTCTTCATAAGAAAGGGGCGGGAAGGCAAAGGGGTTTATATTTTATTACAATTTAGTTTAATAGGTTGTTACATATAAAAATGGCGTTTCAGTATTCCGTTATAAGTTCTCTTACCTCATCAATAAATGGTATAAGTACAACAGCCTCCCAGTCATTCCTCTTGCCGTTGAGGTCAGTCTCGAAGTGGACAGGGTAATAGTGCACAATGGGGGAGTCTTCATCCGTCATCAGATCATGAAATGGGGTAGGCAGGAGTTGTTTACTAGCAGCTGGTAACACTGCCAATAACTGAAAAAAACAAATTATTAAGATTCAATTATTGTGAAACTTATCTGAAATGGTAAAACTACAATTTTTAAATAAAATTGGCTACAAAGTATTAGCATTTTTTTAATATGAAAATCTACTAAAGTAATACTTTTTTTATATAATTTAATGACATTAAAAATTGAAAAACAATAAAATTGACATTCACTTCCTTGAATTAAAAATCTTGATTGATAATTTTAGTTGTATTTTCTATACATTTTGTACTTAATTTTAATTAGGAAAGTACATACAGAATATAGCTATGTATATCGAGGGGGAAAACTTCAAAAGCAATATTGATTTAAAAAAAAAATACCTGTTCAAAAGGTTTAAAGGGTTCACCCAACTCGAACTCTATCTTGAGGTCTTTAAATCCTTTGATATCGGAGATGTATGGAGCGTAGTGATGTGGGTAGTACCAACACCAGGAAGGACAGCCCTTGTAGTAGTACCACAAGTTCCATTGTATCGCGCGCACGTAGCCCTCCGCCTGGTCCGCTAACACCTCCCTACACAACTTGCGTACTCACATCCGACACTTAGTGAACCCCTTAGTAGAAAGCTGACTAGACTCAGCTTAATATACTTCCCAACCAGACATTTAAATACTATACATAGTGAACATTTTTTCACCGATAACTTGTTTGAAAGGTACTATGTTGTGCAATTTATTTCACCTCATGCCATGAAACATTTTTTTAAAATTAGGAGCTCCATCTTTTGTTATAAAATAAACTAAATAGTGTCACAGAATACATAAACATTTTTTTATTATTATTCCACGCGTTTAAGAAATACGAATACCATTAAGAAACGAAGTTTTAAAAAATAATTTAAAATATTCTATTATACTAGTATCTTACTCAGTAACTTTGGAATAGTCCAATTTGTTCATATAATAATCTTTCTTATGTTGAATGAACTCCATTTCTATGTTCGCTTCCTCTGAAAATAATTTAAGAACACACTGTATAGTTAATTCTGGACAAACAGATGAAAAATATTTTTAACATAAAAACTAACCATCACTGGTTTCTTCATATTCCTCTTCACTATTTATATCCATATCGTCCATATACTGAAAACAAAACATGTCAATAAAGAAAGAAAAAAATTTACGTCACAAACGAACTTGGGATCACACGTATAAGTTACCAAGATACCATGAAAAATATCAAATAGTTTAAGAACGCAAATGGGATTAATATATAAAAATATACATATAACAGCTTTTATCAATGATTTCTTTTAAGTGTCAAATAAAAAAAAACTTAGCTAGTAGCATAAGTTTTTACATCAATACCAAATATCGTCAAATTCCATTGAACATCCCAAGATATTTATCACAATCATACATCATTCCAACTAAAGTTTCACAAAATTAGTAAGAAGATATACATAAGTGCTTATCAAAATAAATTACCATATCTTCGGTGGCCTTAATAAGTGCTTGTAATTCATTATCAGGTTTGTTCGCTTTGATATGATCTATGTTCACATTGAATGTGTCATCATTGTTCGGTTTGTACTGCAAAATAAAAAAAAAACATCAATCAAATATCAACTTGTTCCTACAGAGGATTGGCACAGTATGTGCTGCTGTTCCATACATTAAATATAATACGATTAATTATATTATAATAATCTCTTCATATTCAATCAAAGAAATGAGCAAAATTAGTGCTAAAGTTATAAATTCTTACCACTTTTCTTTCATTTGCATTCGGTCTCCTTCCTGTCTTTGCTTCGAAGAATTTTAAATCAGTATAAGTGTCGTGGAACTTCTCTTTGTCAATTTTAGCTAGTTCTTGCATAAACAGCTCAAAGCGAGGCAGATTTAGGTCACCTGCTTCATTTATATAACCTGAAATGTACATAATTAGTAGCTCACGCTCTATTTCGAATATCTCCAAATTTTATTGTAAAATTTAAATATGTTCTATAAAGAAATCACATCTAGGATGGTAATAGCGATTCATACTATTATTACACAACACATAACATAACATTAATATAAAAACTACAGCATATAAGTATATTTTTTTATGTTTCTTAAGCTAGCACTTGGCCACAATCCCACCTGAAGAAAGTGATGACGCCAAAACAAAATTATAGATTATTATTTATCATCATCCTCATCATTCTACTCCCGTAGGGTCGGCACAACAGGTTTTTGTCCTCCAAATAGCTCTGTCATCACACCTTTTTTGATCATGTCACCTTTCACGCAATACATCCATCTCTTTCTACCTCTACCGGTGTACCCTTCCACACTCATAACTATCATTATTATTAATTAAATATATAAATTAACTCACCATCTAATGTTGGTAAAACTGTCATATAAGTTTTATATAAGATGGGTAATGCATCATTGTTAATATGCATGTTAGGCAAATTGGGTATAAAATCATTGCCCACTAGAAATCCCATCAAGACCCAATCATCAACAATTTTCTCTATATCGTACTTGAAAGGCAAGTTGTCTTTGATATCTATGAACTCTTGAGTTAAGTATTCCCGAAGTAGAGAGAGATGGAGGAGGTAGAAGTTTGTTTCTTCCGGGCTGGTAGCACGCTGTGTTGTTTTACCAAATTTAACCTGCAAAAACATTATTATATTAAAATTAAAATTGAACATGCCATTTACTTAAAAGTTAGATTTACAAATTACATTGATTAAGAAAGAATAGTACATCATTGCCAAGAGTAAATATTATATTATTACAATGTAGTCACATTATTTTAGGCTCCTTTTAAATTTATAAATAAGGGGTGAAAGCAAGTTTTGAATTTACAAACTCTATGCGGAGTCGCGAGCAACAACTAGTTGTTTATAATTTATCTATATAATTTACATGGGAATAACAGCTTTAATATGTACAGAATTTTTTGATTATATTCATAATTGAAGAAATAACTAATTTCCTACAAACCTCTTCTCGCAACAATGCAAAATGTGGTTCATGGGTGCACATTCCCAACATTATAAGATCAGCATCCAAGCCGTACAAACAATGTCTTGTATTAGGATCGTAATCAGGCTGGGAGCGAGCCCAGCGTATATAATCCATAATTTTATGCTCACCTTCTCCGGGTGTCTAAAAACAAACAAAGACAATACAACCACTGTCTATATATCTCCAACAAGATGCTACATATGATAGACAGGGTAGAGGATGTACAAAAAGGCATTCCCCTACCAAGTTCGAATATCATTCCTATACCTCTTTTACAAAAATGGGTAGGAAGGTATAGACTAATATTTGCTTATATAGGTTTATTTAATTTACCTCATGTCCCGACAGTACTACTTTCACTTTGGACCAAAGCGGATCTTCTGATATTTGTTTTTTAACAAAATATTTTAACTGGTCATGCAAGCGTGCCATGAACACCGTACCAGGTGTGATACAATTGCTATCAAAACGCTTCTCTGTTGGAAGAACTTCACCTAGAAGAATTCAATTTAATATATTAATTCACTAGATAGTATAAAACAAAATCACTTCCCATTGTCTGTCTATTCCTATGTATAACTATATCTTGAAAACTACACAACAGATTTCTCACAGTAGATTCAAAAGGAAAGTGTATAATATTGTAAAGAAGTAATGGTAATTTTTTTTTTGTGTGATGTTAATAAACACATTTTTATATAGCATTGGACCCATGCAATCCAGGGGTGAGTTTAGTAAAATATTTAACATACATATTCATAGACACTAGCTATTTCACAAATAATACAGCCACTGCCACTGTATGCTTTCCTCTAGCCATAGTGTGTTAATCTGGCACCCAGCTGTGCAAATATCAAACCACAGCCTACATGGGGCTATAAGACTTGATTTTCGAAAGGCATAATGAACCAAGTTCACTCAGAAAATATATTAAACAGTATACCTTTCTCTTTAGCATCTTCTTCCAATTTTTCTGCTTCCCTTGCAGATCGAAATCTGTCAAAACATAATATTTACAAAATCATTATGCAATAAAAAATTATTTTGTAATCATATTTGATTTCAATAGACTTAAATGGTGTAATATGTTTCAATTATTTATTGCACAATAATGATAAAAGTGAGTTCAATATGTTTATACTTTTGGTATTTTTGTAGTTTACTTTCTTTACCTCTTTCTTAGAGGATATGCTTATGAAAGGAGTGGTTTCAGATATAATGGCTGATATAGATGTATGGAAGAGCAGCACATACTCTGCTGACCCTCCATAAGGGATAAGGCCAACTTGATGATGATGAGTTTACTTTCTTGATATAAATGATATTTACCTCCTGCCTCTCTGCTGGTTCATTTTAGCTCTAGGAGCTACTCCATCAATAGCCATAAAGAACAGTTTCTTTGGCTTTATAATTTGAAATAACATACTTAAATAGTGAAATATATCCTGAAAGATTTTCTCCTCAGTGATTCTGAAGTGAGGATTTGAATCATCAGGATGGGAACAATTGTGAATTATACCATTCATGTCTAAATACATATTGTCGAAATCTGGTATCTGTAACAAATAAATATGACTTACAAATATGTCCACAACAATTCCAAAGCAAGAAATTATAACAAAAGGTATTAATATGTATTAATAAGTGATAAAAATCACAGAATTTGTCTCAAAACAAGTTCAGTTTAGTTGTTTTGATAACCATTTTAAAACTTTTAAATGATGGATAAACTCCGTACCTGATATTGTTTGACGAGCTCATTTAGGCAAGGATACCTTTCACTGGTATATCTGAAGAATTTTGGGACACCCATTTTAATTAATCTTCCAACTGTTCAGTTGCAGATTCTGATATTACTCTCTAGTTTCAGTCCAACAAGTACAGATTCTAATCTTGATAACAGTATTCATGAATTTGAACACCTGTTTACTTTAACCAGATTTATAAAATAAACGAGAAGATTAATTAAAATATTAAATTATAATAAACTTGATTTTAGTCTGTGCTAGTGATGGGACTCGAGTTGCTTTTTACTCGAGTGACTCGAGTCATTTTTTTCTTACTCGGACTCGAGTGAAATTTTTGACAACCCGAGTTGCGAGTGACTCGAGTTGACTCGAATTACGAATGACTCGTAACCATTTTGTTGGTTTATACTAAGCGGAGTAAGAAATTTTTACAGCATTTTCAGTTAAATTTGTTATCTTTTTAAAAACACACTATTTCTGTTCTTTTGTAGAGTTTATTTAAGCTTCGTTTAAGTAAATTTTAAAACATGTTTATTATCAAAATTGTGTAAGAATCAAACTGTTCATATTTGGATCTCATGAAAATTACTTGTAAGAATTTATTAAAATGGATTAGAACTTATTTATAGTGCACTATAAAATTTCAACTAATAGATGATATAAGAGGTGTCTTGATTGTGTAGACAGGTTTAGTTTAAAGGAAAACACCATTTTTACACATTTTGTACAGATTTTTTGAGTAACTTTTACGTTAATGCGAAAATAATTTCTTTATGTTAAATTAACATTGTTTTATTGGTTTTAAAATTTTGGTTCCTCGATTTCCTCGGTTATTCCGAGTGACTCGCGTCTATAAACATCACTCGAGTCTTACCTTCACTCGAGTGGCATTCGAGTGAGAAAGTTACGAGTACCGAGTGACTCGAGTGAAAAAAAATCACTCGAGTCCCATCACTAGTCTGTGCCATGTGCCAAGCAAAGCAATTAAGCATATTAGGGATGTGAAGTCGATGCTATTCGATCTATTGTGGATCGAAACAATGAAAGCGATCCATCGGATCCATACGATTTTTGAAACAACCCAAAACTTTTGATCCCTTTATGATGAGGTTTATGTAAAAGTTTTGATTGAAAAAAAATCAAATATAAAACATTTAACAGTAAGTAACCGTCAATCTGTACTAACCCATGATAACGTGTGATTGTTGTTTTGTTTTTCGGTTTTAATTGGTTTATTATTGTTTTACTTTAAAGAAGATATACAGTAAATACAAGAAACGATACTAAATGGATCCACTATAACCAATCGAAAAGGTTTTCTTATAGGAACATCTCTACGATCCACAGATTTTAAAACTAGAAAGCCGAAACTACTACGAAATTACGTTTAAGATTTCCAAATCAATTCAACTTTTTAGTCGTTTATATTGAAACTACAGTTCATTTATTTTCACGTGGTTCATCTAACAATTATGTTTTCTTCTAATTTCATTTTTGAATTTGTTAGAGTATAAATTATTTTATAATTGTGACTTTCTTGTTGATAGTTTTGACTTTTGACAGCTGACAAGCTGACATTGCAGATCAAGCAATATCAAGGGTGTTTTGAACCTTTATTTTGAAGTAAAAAAGTAAAAATTGGAATCAAACAATCTTATTTATAATTGTGATTGTGTTTAATTCTGCAATATCTCGCACATAGGTAAGTCAATATTCCTATTTCCTATGTTATCGTAACAATGTAGCCACAGATAGACTTCTGTCTCACTTGGGAAGTTTAAGTGCCGAAGGTTCCCTTGTGTTTCTTGGAGATCCTGAAATCTCCGTCTTTGTCACCTGTGGATGACCACCGAGGGGGGTCAAATCCCGCATAACACTTGGATTGGACATAATTTTAAAGATTTCCACCCCCAACACCAATAAAAAAGTCAATATAAATAAATAAATAAATATTCCAACACAGTTAGGATACAAAGTTTCAAATCATAAGATTTGAAACTTTGTATCATAAGAGAGCGAGTAAGATTCATTAATGAACTAATTTTAAATAACCCTTTACACAACAACATACATAGTTGCTTCTCACACTATTAATAGAGGTAGAGCCCTCTTTAACATCTTTGCACGAATGGGCCGGCTCGCCTGGGGTAATACCACGACCACACAGAAAACAGGCGTGAAGTGGAAGTAATTCCGCGTTTCGTTTGATGGTTGTGGTGCCGAAGTCCTAATTTTAGTCCCTTTCCCTTTCATCCTTTTTTTAAGACGAAATGATGGGAAGGAAAAGTGGATTTAACGGTGGGGGAGAGGCATAGGAAGAGGAATAGTCCTCTTTATGTGGACTCTCCTCCTTCGTCAATTTAGGGTAGGCAACGCATCGGCAATTGCAGATGTTTATGGGCAGCGATCGCTTTCCATTTCGGTGGATTGTACTGGCCGCGTGCTCGTTTGCCACGTTATATTATAAAAAAATATATATTAAGAATTTTTCATGCTAAAATTTATTTTCTAGACAATAATCATGGAAAGCGATGATCTCGGGAATGAAATAGTAAGATTGGACAATGGCTTCATGGTAGATGAAGAGGAAACTTTTGTTGTTAATTCTGATGATGTCTTGGGTGAGTTTTTTTAATTATAAACAAACCTGCACTTGACCACAATTACACCTAAGAAACATGTTTCCAACTGAATGTAACATTGTAAAAATGTAATGTTTCAGATAGTATATGAAATAGTATGTAATGTGCCAACAATCTTTAGTATTCCAGTACTTCAATATGTAGTTTATTTTGTGGATTTTAGTTATATTTATGTCTCTTAAAAGTTGTGGATTACTTGCTTAACAAATTGGTTTGAGATATTTTTTATTTTAATAATAAACCTAGGTGAATTGATAAAAAGATTAGATATAAGTTATGTTTATTATTTCAGAGCAGGAAGAAAATAATTCAGATTCAAATTGTGGCGGCAAAAATGTTCCATTGCGAGAACAGGATAGATTTTTGCCAATCGCGAACATTGCTAAAATAATGAAAAGAGCAATACCTGAGAATGGAAAGGTAGGGGAAAGTGGAATAGAAAGGGATTGCCCATAGTTACACTGCAAGCAAATAACAATTTTAGTACAATGCAATTAACAAGCTGCAAATGTATTCTTCACGCCTTTGACTAAACTATGTCACAACTGTTTAGTCTTACTTTTATTCCTATGAGGTTATATGGAAGTAAACACACTACTAATTTTTAGTTGTGCAACTAAACAGTTGAATTGGCTGCAAAACAATCGAAAATCGCAAACTGTTGCGTTATTATTTAGTCAAAGGTGTCCATCTATTCTTAGTAACTAGACTTCTAAATGTCAAATCATCTTATTTATCTTCTTCTTAAGAATTTGCAGCGTCTCTAGTGTTGAATCCTACATGTTTACAGATTGCCAAAGATGCGAGAGAATGTGTACAAGAATGTATATCTGAGTTCATATCATTTATAACGAGTGAGGCGAGCGACCGTTGTCAAATGGAAAAACGTAAAACTATCAATGGAGAGGATGTTCTGTTTGCTATGAATCAGTTAGGTTTTGATAATTACGTGGATCCTTTGAAGATATATCTAAAGAAATATAGAGAGATTGTTTTATCACCGGTAAGGGAGTAACAGTAGGTACAATTTTAAAAATTAATCATACAAATGTTACATTTGATGTTTCAAATATTACTATGGTCACTGATTACTTGTATGAAAACATGTTATTTGACAGTGAGATAGTTTTTGACAGACAGAAATTGGGGTTTGGACAGTGGATAAGTCTTTGTATTTTGCATATATCTTTGAATTTTTCACAGATATGTGATATTGCGATGTTTTCCTTTATCGTAAGAATGTTGGGTTGTACCATGGATGTATTAAAAATGTAAATAAAGATATACAGAGACTTTATCCAGGCTTTTTAATGTTAATGACTCATGCTTTTATATATTTGTATTTATTTTCCAGGTAACAATAAATAAGTTGAACAAAGCTTATGTTCTTTCCACTCATTATCGAGGTAAGTTTATTTTAATAATTATTGTCAATTTAAAGTTTCTGCTTTGTATATGTTAATTTTTTTCTCCTGTTTAAGTGTAGTTTGTTAAAATACTTAAACGTTATTATAATGAAATTTCCACTACTAACAAATGAATTGAATGCCTAACAATTTTTTTTTAATTGCATAAATGTTTTCAAAGTATATTTTTGATCCTTTTTTTTCAACAGAACCGTCAACTAGTTATCCTGAAAATGAAGAAGATGTTAAAACAGACACAATCCTGTGTTCATTTAAGAAGGGTCTTGGAGATTTTAATATTAATTAGTGGTGATAGATAAGGAAATAGTGTGAAGTGAATGAAATTCCAAATGTGACTTGTATTGAGATATTTGTCTCCTTTTTGTCGAAGAGTATGAAAAGGATGGCAATATGGAATTATACAAGTGCTTCGATAGTCGAAATAAATTGACGTCATTCTCACGGTCGCTTTTTTAACGCAAGACGTTTTTTAACGCTCTAGTTCATACGAACTTTTTAAAATAAACCTTATTACTTTTGGGCCAGTGCTCAAAATGCTACGCGGGATAAAAATAGCGTCACTTTAAAAGCGCAGCCTGAACATATACATGGAATTGCATTTTGTTTGTTTGAGCGGTTTTTTAACGCGAGTTGAAAAAGCGTCCGTGCGATTGAGCGTTCAAGGGTTTTTATGTTACAAAAATCAGAAAAATATCATGTTTTGCATTATCGTCAATTTATTTTTCTTTTGGGATATATTTTGGGAATCAATTTAATGATGTAAAGAGTGTCAATAAAAATGATTTTTTCTAAATTGTTGTTTTAATACTTTATTAGATTAGTTCTTCAATATAGATACATCTAAACTTATAAATAAAACATTAAAAACTACACATAATTGGCTGGATCATTTTCGATTTAAATTTTTAGTGTCATTGGACTTTTTTTATATAGTTTAACATACGGGTTTAATGTGTTAACTAGTATAACAATTATACAAAAAACGATATCGTCATTAAATTTTTTTTTTTTATTAAAATCTCAGTCATAATAAATTTTATTCCCTAAACTTATCAGTGATATAACCAGGTAATGGTATTAAATATAAAAATTTGTTGAAAATCATTATACCAACTGAGAATGCAAACGATATCCCTATATTAAATTCCGGATTGAATTCCCCAGTTAGGTAAATATCACCAGTGAATTGTTTGGATGTAAAACGTTCTGTTAAAAACGCTTTGCCGTTAGCATATCTACAGTTAGAGTTTGAATTGGTGTTTAGATTTGACGATGTCTGGATCAAGTTTGTGATCGCGGTGCAATTCTCGTTGATACTATAAGGTAATATATTGAAGGTCGGCTGTTTGAATATACTTCTATGCATGAAAAGAGATGCATAACGAGTGTGGGTCACATAAGTCAAGTAGTACAGCCATTCCTCGAAACCTTTGTACGACCTGAAAAAAAAAAAAGGAGAAATACGTTAAATAAATCTACAAAATATAATGAGGATAATCTATGAACGAATAATTATAGATAATAAAGTTTTGTATGATTTAGCAGTGGGAAACTGGCACTAAAACTGTTATTCCCGGTTCACACCGGCATAATGTTCACTAATTGGCGACATCTACATCCATGGCGAACTTAACTGGTCAAGTGTGAACAAGGCATGATCATTTATTAAGAAAGTTCTGTTACCTGAGAACTCCACTTGCGAGCATGATATAGATGCAAGTAATGTAAATATTAAATATGGCGGCGATGAGTCCGTTCTTAACAAACATCATGACGCCGATAGCTTGCTGTTCCGCGTAGATGTAGCATGACCACAGCGCCATCGAGAAGTACAGGTAATCCACGCTCTCTGATATGTCACCTAAGATCCTAATACAACGTACACTTTAAATGAAAAGTATAACACCACTGTTATTTTACAATTAAGTGTAAAATTGATATAAAACAACATAACCTCAATTCATCATCTCACTTGCCTTATTCTACTCATATATTTTTACAATAAGGGCCTGTCTTACCAAATTGTAAATTGTCTGATAACAATCCAACGTGTAAAGTATGTGATGGAGATATCGGATTTTGTTCGTAATTTTGTGACGTAATTTTTAAGCTATCTGAGCCTCTATCAGCCAGTGGTGGAACAGGCCTTGTTGTTTTGGTTTCATAACCTCAATTAACTTTATAAATAATATTTGTTATTTAATTAATTGATATACGTACAAAGCATAAATAATACTGCAATGAATGTAGAAATATTTATGGAAGCAATAATTAAAACTAAACAACATGAATCGGGTTTTGAATCTTATTCGGGAAACCATCTTACATATTTACTCTACTAAGATCCGTATAACAGAAATTAGAGTCATGCTTTCTATATTTTTTTTTAACTTACGGATAAATTATAGCGGATGAGGCGAATGTTGTAATCAATGAGAACGGCAGAGAAACCAGATTCCATGATAAGAGAAGACTAGCACCACTGTATAAACCTTCTTGTGATTCCTGATAATATCGAGTTCGGTATGGACCATCTGTAAAAAATATAAAGCTAATTTAAATATCCTAATAAGTGATTTTGATAGTTATTTATCATTAACTAGCTTTTGTCCGCGAATGCGTTTGCGTAGGGTTTAAGAACCAAAAACAAGTAGCCTGTGTTCTTCCAGGATATGCTTTAGTTGTTTAAGCGGGCTTTAACAAACATTCTAACCATCTAAAACTTTGCATTTATTTATTATTAGTGAGATTAAAAAAGTTTATGATAAATGAGTTAGCTATAATATGCGAGCATTCTTCGATGCCTACCCCTCCCAATAATACTACGTCCCGCGCCCGTCTGCTCAGTACCGTCAGTTAACTCGTGACGTCATTAGCCCATCGACAAATTGTGATACTTACAAAGACAGATTGTGTTCATGATACTAATGAAGTACGTGCCCACCATCGCATTGAAAATTAATCCACTCTTTGTTATGAATGCTCTTTGGAAATCCTGTAGAAATAATTAATGTAATTACCTAGGTATTCGCGTGTAAAAATTAAATAATGACTAGTAGAATTAAAAATAAACTTGACATGCAATTTACCTGAGCTTCATTGTAGAATATCCGTAATATAAAGAAATAAATAGGCAGCGAGATAAGCCGCATTGTCATCTGCTTAAAACCATTTTTCTTGAAATTGAAAATAGAAGCAAGGATTCTCCTGAAAAATATTCGTGACATTAATCGTGTTAGAAGCGTCTTCGTTAGGGTTTTGTACTCTGTTAATGTGTAGATTTATTTTAAGATTTTATGAATACAGTGTCTAGACAGATTTTTATCTCGTAAACTCACAAATACAACATCCATATGACCCTAAGTCCGCTGGGCTTGCCGTAGTTCATCTGCATCTTGTTGGGGTTGACGATGCGACTGTGCTCGGTGGCGGCCGACTGCATGATGCCCTGCCCCTCCAGTCTGAACTTCTCCACCAGTGCTGCTATCTGGTGGTTGGATTCGATAAATCGCTCACGAGATCTCCTGTCCACCGTTGATAGGCATACTAAAAATCATCATTACAAAATGAATTTATTTACTAGCTTTCGCCAAAAAATCAAAAGCGAGTAGCCTATTTATTCTTCCAGGCTATCCTCTACATCTATGCCAAATTTCATCTGTTTAGCCGTTTAGTGGACAAACTTCCATCCTTCCATCTAAACTTTCACATTTATAATCATAGTCATAAGGAATAGATCATAGAATAACTGAAAACTAGACTTAGGATGTTGACAAGTGAATTTTTATTGAAATTCTTCCCCCTTTATAGTTATTTATTATTTGAACGAACAAATAATGTTTAATTATTCCTTACAATAATACATTAGTGGGTTCTCCAGCTGAGGACAGGGAAAGCCGATGCTACCAAAATAGTCCAGCAGGTTCCTGGTAGGTCCGGCGTACACAACATCGCCTAAACAGAGGTATACCACGCGGTCCAGGAATGGGAACACGTCTGAAAAAGAGAAATAACGGAATAGTTATAAACAAATAATACTAATCTATTGAAATTATTAAATAGATTCTTAAGAGAAATAAAATAATGGAATGATGATGTTTTCAAAAATTTGGATAGCAAAACTAGTATAGTATATTATCTGTCGTAAAATTAAGAACATAAACATTAACCTGAAATTAAACTATCGCACTACTGTATAGTTTCGCTGTTATTCTTTTGAGCTTATATGTACGTCCGCACACTACTCGAGTTTTAGTTTAACCAAATATTGAATCTGCGAAACAATCGTTTTTTGTAAACAGAGATAGTTTAGTCAAAAGTGTGCGCCCGCACTAAATCGTAATATCTAAAAATCATCCCGTTCGCCGCTGAATTGAAATTCCACTCACCAGATCTGGGCTTTTCCATAGTAAGTATAATTGTAGTTCCATATTTTTTAGCCGCATTCGATAATATGGAGATAACCAAGTAGGTGTTTAAAGGGTCTAAATCCCACGTCGGTTCGTCTAACAACAGTATTACTGAAAAGTTATAAAAACTCTGTTATAAAAATAACCTTCAAGTCTGCACACGTTGAATTAAACACATTTTAATGACAAATATATTTTAAATACATACTTGGATCACGTATCAATTGTACTCCAATTACTAATCTTCGATATTCGCTTTTCGTTAGATTGGTAACGCATTTGTGTGCCACCTTAAATTGAGCCATAAAGTTAATCCAAAGTATGTTACTTTAAATCTAAGTTATTAAATATTATACCTGAGATAATGCCAAATCTGCCATAACTTGTTTCACTTTAGACGATTTTAAATAACCCGAGATCTGAAAAATAAATCAACTTAAAAATTTGCATTCCATTCTACGCTTTGTCGGGATCAATAACAATAGTAGACAATACAATAGTAGACATAAGTTACCTTTGTAAGTGACAGTGATAATGTCTGTTGCACGCTCAGACCCGGCAGGAGTTTTGTGGAGTGTCTGACGAGAGCACACGTGTTCCTGAACTGATCCTCTTCCAAAGGCACTCCTTCTAGAAGTATGTGTCCCTTGCAAGGCACGCGGCGCGCGATCACATCGAGGAGAGCGCGTTTGCCGCTACCTGAAAACGTGTAGTTTTTTACAGATGTTTTAGAGCAAGAATTATCTAATCCACACTCTTTTAAAGATAAACAGAATTATTTTTAAAAATATAACTAAATAAAGCTTTATTCTTAACGCTAAACAATATCCATTGCACTTTCTTTACTCTTCAGTATTTCTAAATAAATCTCTTTAGTCACATAGCTTGTGAATTAATGTCTTTATATTAATTGACATACCCTTAGAGCCGAGTATAGCAGTAACTTCTCCGCTGTGTGTGAGCATGGAGACGTCCTTCAGAATGATGCCAGTCTTCACGCCGCCAGTCAGTCTCTGGAAGAAGTTTCCAGGCTCCACCTGTCGACGTTATATTATAAATGCGAAAGTTTAGATGGATGGATGGATGTTTGTAGCCTAATCTCCTGAACGGATATCAATGAAATTTGGCGTTGACGTAGAGGATAGCCTAGAAGAACGCATAGGCTAATTCCGCGCGGACGGAATCGCGGGCGAAAGGATAAATCAAAATGTACTCTATGTATTTTTGTTCTATAGCATGTATCAAACTTCAATTGCCTTAATTACAACTGCATAGTGTATGTTCTTTTAATTTTATTACTATGAGTATACTTAAATAGCAAAAGTAATTGTTGGATTCAATAACCCACACTCGCGCTTGCACTGAAATGTACTTTTTGGGCTGCATCTTAGAAAAGACTTCAACGCGTTATCGAATTTCGAAATGAGATATCTAATTACTTTTGAAATCCCGCTTAAGCAGCAAATAAACATTCCAAATATACACTTTGCAATTGATCTTTGATTATTTTATAAACATTAACATTATTTTGGGAACAAAAATCAACTTTTGAGGTCACAGGGGCGATATTTTTAAAATTAATTTTATAATAAATTTTTAATTACGAATTTAAACAGAAATATAAATAATTTCTTATAAGATTATATTAATATTTAAAAATCAATGTTTTTAACAATAAAATTTAATAATTAAAAGAAGAATTTTCATAAACCGTTTACAATTGCATTAAATATCTAACAGTATGTTGACAAGGTAATTAAAAAACGTTATTCAGAACAAAGCTTACTTGTCCAGAATGAAACACATTGCACAGTTCCAAAGTATAGTCACTGCCAATCATTTTTCAATCTTCTATAAACACGTATATTCTAAAAAAAAACTATAAAAACTCCGTAATTTTATACATGCACTCTTCAGCAGTTCTCCCGTAAACTAAGTTATTGCGGTTAACTTCAAACTTGATGATTAGCGACGTTGCCAACTTTATCCGTAGCTAACTTCATTCGTATAGTGCACTTGATTCTACGGGAATTTTATAATTGAAGAATTTTGAACCTTTTTGCGTTGGTATAAAGTTTGTATTTGTATGTGTGTCGCTTTTAAGGCCAAGTTGGGAGCGACTAGCATTTTCTATATTTTTTTTTTAAATTTCTATTAGAACAGTTGCGAAATTTAACAATTATATCATTTCTATTAAAAAAATTAAACACCTGTCTTATTTCAATTATTATTACAAAGTTGAAATTGAGCATATTTTAGAATTAATCTAAGAAAAGCTGCCTTTTTAACTATATTACATTTAAAAAAGTGCAGATAAAACTAAAAATAATACAATTGTAATGTAATTGTCTTTAAAAAATATTTACTTATTGTTAATGACTTCGCCTTAACGGAGAAGCCTCCATTTTCCATATATTTTCTACGCGTTGCCGTACTTACCGCGAACCTCTAAAGGCTAGACGGCATTCACTCTCTCTTTCCTTCGCGCCATAAAGCCTCTTTTAATTAGGAGACGACAACATGCTGCGTATGCGCATTTGTGCGTGAATTCCACTGTTCATCCATCTCGCTTCCTCCAACTAACACGAAGTTATACAGAAAGGGACAGAAGACCAATGTCACTGACTGTTTAGTTCTTCAGAGTTTGAACGCGGTATAGTCCGGTGGTTTGATAAAGTACTGTCGTTTTAGCGAACGAAACTTATTCGAATTATTTTAAAATAAATGAATTAAACGAATATTTACATTGTTCGAGTGATACGAAGTATTGAAGATTATTGTGTTTAGTGGTTTTATAGTGTTGGTGTGATTCAGTGCTCAAGAGTACCGTTGGCCGGTGTTGTGGATATCAAGTAAGTCCATGCATCATGGTGTTTGTGGGTGTGTGAGTTAGAATTCTAACTTAGATTGTTTAGTTTTCATAAGAGAGTTTCTACCTCTAATAAAGTTTTATAATTTTTTTTGGATGTACGTCATTTTTTTTTTTTTAAATGTTAAGGTAACAAATATTATAAACCGTTTTCTTATGAAAGATATTAAACGATTTATTTTCGTAAATTGTTTAAAATACCAATCCAATTACAATTTATTCAAAAATAGTTTTAACAAGTTGTTGATATTGTAACGTAAACATTATTTAAATATATTTTCTTATTGTTTATTGATGCTATATTCTGAGATAAGGGAGCAAAATAAATTCCTTATTAGAGTGTATTTTCATACTTAAATATTTATTCATAATGACGGTCAACTAAAAAAGGTACTTTGAGATATCTATAAGTTACCTGATAAACGAAACTCAAATTAAAAAGGGAAATCAAGTTGGGAGGCAGAGGTGTATTTTACTACCTGACCTGTAAAATTAACCTTGACAACGAAAAACAAAAAAAGGTTTTACCGACCCACTTTTTCTCACTTTTTACAGTCAGTACTTTCAAATCGAATTGCACGTACTTTTAGCGCTTTTTTTGATAGATAATAATTATAATTTAAGACTATAATAGAATTAACTAATCATTTGATTGCGAACAGAAACTTTTTTGTTTTATAAAAAGTAAACATTGATTACTAAAAAACTAGACTTCTAATGTTGAAGGTTTTATCAATTAATATTTACAGTTACGAAAAATGGTACATCCGGCAACGGGTCTGTTCAGGGTTTTAACCATTTTTTGCAAAGCTCGTGTTGCAATTTGTTGAAAAAAAAGTTCTAAAACAATGGTCAATGTTAACGAACTTATACTATGAGTCAATGCCTTGAATCGCAGACTGGTACATCCAAGATTCAAATTCTTGTTTCATCGTTTTGTTCCAAGCTATTCGTGCCCTGTACCGCTTAAGTTATTTATGAAGATGTTTTATCCTGTTAAATACATGCAAACTTCTAAGACTTTAATTACTTAAAGCGGTACATATATTCAGTTTTAATTCAATAGTTTACATATGTATGACAAGAAGTAGGCTGAGATGTAGTCACGTAAGAATTTTCTTTATCTGGTCTTAGATGGCAGACACAATATTAGAAAAGATATAGTGCTTAGACATGGGTGTCAAGTCTGAGACAAAGGTGTCAATGACAGATGCAGAAGAAGAGTTTTAATAGGAAACCTGTCCACCATTGGGATGCGAACTAGAAAGTGTGCACATTTTGTCTATATCTGTCAGTTTTATCTGTGTATATCGTGTGTTGCAGGCTTTACATTTCTTTGTAGATGTGTCATTTCATAAGAATAATACCAAAATTACTTGAAGCTTGCCCAGTACGTAAAATAATGACAACAATACATTGTTTTATTTAGACATTTTAAGATCAAATCTTTGTGTTAACATTTCTTTTGTGCAGAATAAAAGACATTCTATTCGATAAAGTTACAAAGAATTTTATAAACAACATTCATTCATTCATTCATCTCTTGTAATTGAGAAACTATTTTTTATTTCTATCTGCGTGAGATTGTTACATCATTCACAAGTACAATTTATAATAATAGTAACAAATATTGAACAATATAAGATATGCTGACAATTGTAAACACGTTTTTTTTAACGAAATACCAAAGTACAATTGTCTTGGTGTTACATTAAAATGACACAGATGTTCATTAGAACGCGACAAAGGTTATTTTTCTTACAATTAATTGACTTGTCATATAAAACATTTATCACTTGATTCTCTAAGAATGCCACTGTACAATCGTATTGAGACGGAATTCATTCAGAAAGAAATTGAAGTTTAGATATATTGTACATTCGGGTAACTTTAACAAAATTATCCTAAGCTATGTGATTATTTATTTAGTATGCGGTAATAACCACAAACGCGTGGCTGTCCTAAACTTGGCGGCGTTCAATGGCGGCTGATATGAAGGCAATAGTGCTGCCATGGCTCGAGACAAAACATCGAACCCAGGATAGACGGCCAGTATAGATAGGCGGCGCACTGTGGACGCCCTCTGCTCCACTTCGGGGATATAGGACAATAAGAATAAATCTTTTAACTCTTCAACCTAAAGTCTCAGATTGAGTTTAACTTATCATAGCGTTAAAACAATTAAATCAAAGTTTTATTTAATCAACTATGTGACTCGTTAAGACAGTACAAGTGATTTAGAAATCATAATGCCGTAAACTTCAATGTTGTAAGAGTATATAGTTAGTTCGTCTTAAGTAAATAATTTAATTAAAAATGACGTTACCATTATCGTACCGTGACTTATTATACTTGTTATGATCTAGTAAACAGAAAGGGATTGCCCAATTTTTAAATAAACTACGTTTTTTTATAATTTAGTTATATAAGTTACAATTTTCGTAGAACTATAAAACTAACAATACCTTTCTACTAATCTTCATACTAATATTATAAATGCGAAAGTTTAGATGGATGGATGGATGTTTGTTAGAGTGTGTAGCTTAAGCAGCTTAACGGATTTATATGAAATTTGGTATAGATGTATAGGATAGTCTGGAAGAACACATAAGCTACTCAATTTTGTTTTTTTTTTTAAATTTCACGCAGACGAAGTCGCGGGTGAAACCTAGTAGATCTATAATTCAATATATACATTTCTATCCCTGTATTTACATAGCTCTTCAAGTGTTTTTACCAAGATGACTGTTAGTGAAAAAACAATTGCATATCGAGTTTAATTTCCACAGCATTAATCCAGAAAATTTAACCACAAAGAAGTTTAATTGCTTCATAAAGATCTAACTAGGTTTATGACCATCGCCGAGGTCACGTTTAAAGTAGCGACAGACCTCGTGGGAATTTTGTAACACTTCCATTTTATCTGACGTATGGTATCCGTATCGCCTTTCCTAAATGCCTCAAACAATGATCTTTCAAACTCCCGTACATTCCGTCGTTTCGTGAAACCATTGTCTTCAATATAAGCTTGGTAGTGTTCATGTATGCTGCTATAAGTGAGTAAACACTTCTTTCATTTTTGTATTTTATTAGCTGTTGCTCGCGATTTCGTCCGCATGAAATAAAATAATAAAAAAAATTGTAGCCTATGTTACGCATTGATAACGTAGCTTTAAATGGTGAAAGATTTTATTTAAATCGGAATAGTAGTTTTTGAGTTATTTCAATACATACAAAAATACAAATCTTACCTCTTTATTTAGCATAGATTAACGCTTTCCAGTTAAGTTTAAAATGAGGTATCATCGATATTAAAAGTAAGACATAAATAGGTTTGTTTATGAAAAAGTCTATTTGATCATAACTTTGTTGGCGCTGTGTTTACATCGCATATAAGTTGCAATTAGCAATTTGTAATGCATTACGTATTACCTCGCCTTTTATATAAATTGTCTATGATACGTAATGTGTGCATGTGTAGTAATATTATTTACAACACCATGATGTTACAAGTCATGAATTATTGCAATATACCAAACTCTCGTATTATAGTTACGGTGAAGGAATACAGTGATGCAAGGCACATATTAGAGAAGAAATTCAAAGGTTTTTTTTATATGAGAAGGGCGCAAACGAGCGGCGGGAACACAAACGTGGTCAACGACGCGCACGGACATCCGCAATACCAAAGGAACTACAGATGCGTTGCCGGCCTTTAAGGGAATTATAGGCTCGCTTCTTGAAGGACCCTAAGTCGTATTGGCTAGGAAATACCGCCGAGGACAGACCGTTTCACAACGCGGCTGTGCGGGGCAGAAAGTTCCGCGAAAACCGCACGGTTAAGGAATGCCGGCCATCAACATGGTAAGGAGGAGGTACGTGTGAAGTCAACCAATCCGCACAGGGCCAGCCTACTTGTCTATGGCTAGTCAGCCCTAATTTAGAGTAAACTCCGAGACCTTCAGTGGGGACGTACAGTGAGGTGATGACGATGAATATTTGTATTTTACAAATTTAGAATAGTTTCTAAATAACTTTCTCATACTTCTAAGTACAGATTCGAGATTCTGATAAGATTCTAATAAATTATTTCTTAAGTTAACTTCAAATCTTTACCTGAATTATTGAACATCAACAATTGGAATGCAACAGTTAAAATACCTTTTAAATACTAATATAAAAATAAAAAGATGGAGAACATTCATCTCGCATTTTATTCAACTTAAAGCTCTGGTGTGTTTGCAAATCATGTCATACATATCGAAGTAATACTTCGTAGAATCAGCATGTTCGTTATATTGTCATTTACAACAATGTATCGTCCGGTAAAGTTGCAACAGCTTCCGCGAACCACGCATATCGTAACTGTGGCATTCTATGTGTACGAGTGTTAGCAAATATGCTCATCTATATGTAATACAAATGCTCAGAGCGCACGTACACTTTTGACGAAACAATCGCACATGTGCGATTGTCAATTGTTTTTCAGCCAATTCAACTGTTTAGTTGCAACTAAAAATCGAGTAATGTCGAAGATCGAGTTTAAATCAACTTGGAAACGGTTCAACGGATCAGCTCACACAGTCTTGGATCGTTGAGCTATTCAACAACTAAATTATAGCTCGACGTACTACGGAAGCCGACAAGCCGCAGTCTATTCGTTGACTCACCGATCAAGCAAATCATACCTTTATGTAGGTAGAAATTGAGCTGAACTGTGAGCCAGTTAACTGATCTACTTTATCTACCTGTTTTCTGTGCGGTCGTGGTATTACACCGGGCGAGCCGGCCCATTCGTGCGAAGATGTTAAAGCATGCTTTACCACTGCTTAAAAGTTACCCATGATACTGCTTGTTAGTAGTTGTTTCCTTAGCAAGCTGGAGGCGCTGCTCGTTATGTTTGAAGCTGTCCGTGTGTGATCACTTTACGGCGCCAAGTGCGGTGAGAACGTAATCCGATTGGCATGTTATCGACGTAGGATG